CAAGTGGGCACTCTCTGAGGCCCCAAGGCCAAGGGGCCGCCAGCAGCGGGAAAGGGACCGTGGGGGGCAGTGATGGAGCTTGGCTCAGAGTCCACTTCTGCTTTCAGCACAAGCCCGGCCCAAGCGGCCCCTCCCCAGACGGAAACGCTCATTCACCACCCGAACCCAGTCCCGAGTGGGAGCCAGACTTGGCCTCTGAAAGCCCGGCCTGGGGCCGGCACCAGCACACTCACTTCCTTCTTCTTAGAAACACTATAAAGTCTAGAAATGAGCCAAACTGCTCCCACGTAGGCTGGAAAGCCATCATCTCACCTATGTGAATCAGAGAGAGCAAGAACGCTGCCCGGGGTCGCACAGCCAGTCTGAGGCAGCCCAGCCTGGGACCCAGGGCTCCGGCTCCCTGGCCCCCTGGTGCCTGCTTTATGGTCCTCCCCCAGGCCCAGAGAGGCCAGCCCCGAAGGAGCGTTGTCAACTGCTCCTGTTACCAGTGAGGAAGCTTAGGTCCAGGGGGGACAGGAGAGCAGGGCGGGGTACAGGGGTACTCAGTTCCGGGGCCGGGAGCAGACACAGGCCCAGGTTCAAAGCTTCCAGCCAGAACCCTGCTCGCCCCTTCAGAGGTGGGAAAGACTCCAGCTCAGGCTTGTCTCTGTTTTATCCGCATCTGGTCTAGACTTTAGAAAGCCCCTTCTGCAGGAGTCTGCCCTCCTTCATCTTATAGCATCGCCCTTCTCCCCCTGACAGGTCTCAGGGGGCTGGCCAAAGAAGGCTGTGGCACCAACCTGAGCGTGGCGGTGGACCCCTTCCCGGGGGACTCGGGATACTAAGAACAGAAGAGGGCTTCTGAGACCCAGCCTCTCAGCTAATTTGCCCAGATATCTGTGTGTTCACTTGCCTCCTCCTTGGCAAACTCCGTTTGCATGGGGTCGAGCTGGCTGGCAGCTGGCTGGGACCCCCTCCTACATAGATGCAGTTCCCAGAGAAGAGCTAAACCCAGAGAAACTGACCACAGGAAAGAATTTGGCACCACATGACCCCTGAACCCAGCTGGGGGACATCTGTGAGGTGATGCCTGCTGGACAGGGGGAGAAGGAGCTGAGCAAGGCCCCCCCCAGGGGCTAGTGGTCCCCTCCTGCCTACCCCCCACAGCTGGAGCCCCGCCTCCCCCACACATGTGGATCCGTGAGCCGCAGAAGGTGGGGCGCAGGGGGACACGGGTAGGAGGAGGAAGAATATGGGGAGATTCTAGTCCCTCCCACTTAGAGATGCGGTCGCCATGGTGACTGAGGACCAGTGAAGCGGGATGGGGTTGAGGATGGGGGGCGGGGGCGTGGCAGGGACGGAGGCACTGGGAGACAGGAACTGCCGGGCATTCCAGGGGGAGGGAAGCACGGTGCATCCCCCAGCTCCAGGTAAGGAAGCGGGAGAACTGAAGGGAGGGGGCGGGCCATTGTCTGATGCTGGCTCTGCCCTGAGGAGGGGGCAGACAGAGGGGTCGGGCCATTGTGTGCGCTACGCTGCTCAGCCTTCCAGCACAGTCAGATTGGAGGAGGAAGCCTAGGAGGCCCCGGGGTAAAGGCTTAGGAGGGTCGGGCTGGGCGGGTGGCAGGAAGGCTGAGAGACAGTGTGGGCGGGAAGAGGCAGGGGAGGCTGGGGGAGCGGAAGCCGGGAGCATCCCTAGTGCCTGACACACAGTAGGCTGTTCTGCATAAGTTGACTTGACTGGGCTGTGATCATAAAAAGAGGGCAACAAGGGACAGGGCAGGTGGGACGGAGGAAGGGGAGCCAGGAGGCTGGTGTTCCCCACGATTGGGCTCTTCTGGGGCTGCCCCTGAGGCTGGAAGGGAGAGGGGCTAGGGGACATTGGACCTGCTGGGTCATTGGCAAAGCCTTTCTCCCCACTCCTGGAGCCCCTCTCAGTGAGGTATCCATGTGCCCTGGGGCACTGAAGAGACAAAGTGCCCCAGAGTTCTCTGGTGAGCGCAGGATGGGGAGGGGAGGAGGGTAGGGGTGCGGGGGGGTGAGCACAGGGTAGGGGTGCAGGGGGTAAGCACAGGGTAGGGGTGCGGGGGGTGAGCACAGGGTAGGGGTGCGGGGGGTGAGCACAGGGTAGGGGTGTGGGGGGGTGAGCACAGGGTAGGCGTATACAGGGGTGAGTATGGGGTAGAGGTGCAGGGCGTGAACAGAAGGTAGGGGTACGAGGGATGACCATGGGGTAAAGATGCAGGGGAGGTGAACATGGGGTAGGGGTCCAGGGAAGGTGAGTACAGGATAGGGGTCCAAGGGGATGAACACAGGGTAGGGGTGTGGTGGGGTGAGCGTGGGGTAGGGGTCGGGGGGGTGAGCATGGAGTAGGGGTGCAGAGGTGAGCACAGGGTAGGGTGGAGAATGACACCTCCATCTCCCCTCCCACCTCTAATCCCCACAGCTAGATCTCCACCCTGGGCCAGAAAGCTTGGCAGGAAGGGTCTGCTGTTTGATGTGACCGAGGGACCGTGGGGGAGGAGTCCCCAGAGGAGGTGGACCCTGGGGTGGGGGACACGGCTGAACTCAGCATTGCTGCTACTGGGGGGTGCCCAGGCTGGGGAGAGAGGAGCCAGAGGACCCCCCCCCTCATTGGGGCTATGCAACATCACAGCCCCTCAGGCCTTGTCCCTGAACACCTGACCCCTTCTTGCCACCCCTCACCTGCACAACCCTCCCAAGACTTCCCCTGCTGGGCCCTGGTTTCTTCACTGGGACAGGCAGGAGGGAGGTGGGGCCCTGCCGGCGGGGAGCTCGAGGCTGTGGGCAGGACTTGCTACGATGCCTGCCGGCCTGGTGCAGAGGGAGACGTGAGGCGGTCCCCATCAGAAACCATCAGCCGCCTTCAGGAGGCCCCCGGAGAGCCGCAGACCTGGCCCTTCTGAATGCGGGCTCCTGCGACCGCCCAGGCCACGTGCCCTTGACCCCGGCGGATGGGGGGCTCCCCAGCTACAGCGGGCGTTGGTGCGCTGTGGAGTCTGACTCCAGGCCTCCCATGCAAGAGGGGCAGTGGCGGGGCGGGGTGCAGTGCCCTTCCTCCTGGTCTGGGTCTTCCTGCGACCTTGATGGCCCTCCTGGGTGTGGGGCTCCTGCCGGCCAGAGAAGTTTCTGTTCCCTCTTGCGTTGGGAGTCCCCTGAGATACGCGCTCTCAGCCAGGAGAGCCTGAGCAGGCTGCACGCACCCTCCCAGCTGTCTTCCCCGCCCAAGTGGCTCTGAGCTAAGGGAGGACAGCGGGAGTAAGTGCTCCCCAGACACTGGGTGGGTGGCCTACGGATTCAGATCTGAGTCTAACTTGGCTTCTCCCTGGGGAGCCTCCCCGAGCCTCACTTGCCTCACCTGGGAAATGGGACTGCCATGGTAGCCGGCTGCAGAAGTTCTCAGCAGACCAGAGCTCAATAGCACAAACTATTTGTGTTGGCTGGAGGGGCTGGGAAAGACCGCCCCGGGCCAGAAGGAAAATTCCTGGGTCCCTGGGGAAGAAGGAGCTAAGCCCAGTGTGTTGAATCAAACACTTCCAGAGGCAGGAGCAGGGCGTCGGGCTGAGAGCGTGGGCTGGAGCTGCTTCCCCCACCTCCCCCACCTGCCCCCACCAGAACTCCTCCCTGTGACCCAGATAAGCCAAATCGGCTGGAGCAGAGAGGCCCAGGGCCAGGGCAGGTCCCAATCTGGGCTGGGAGGTGGGGAGGCACAGAAGGTGGGGTCCAGGTGGGAGTTTTCCAGGGTCCTGGGAGTCTGAAAGACTTTCTCTAGTGGCTTGCTGCCCCTTCCCCAGCTTCTCGCAAGGACCTGGCCACCAACCTCTGTGACAGTTGTCTGGAGGGGCCTGGCTGAGACCAACCCCGAGGAGAATGGAAGAGAAATGGGAGCAGAGGGACAAGGAAAGAGGGCTGGGGTGCCCAAGAGGAAATTCTAGGGAGTGACCTGGGCTGTGTTGTGGCCAGAGGGCTGGCAGGACAGGAAGGACTCTCCGCCCGAGGAACGGGCGTCTGAGAAGGAGTTGGGTCGCGGGTCGGAGTCAGGTCAGCCCAGGGATGGCCGTGCTCTTAACCCAGCAGCCAGCCAGCCTCGGGCTGAGCAGGCCGGAAACTCCCCACTTCATAGGCTGTGAGCCCTTGGTGCGAGATGTGTCATTAACTCTGCGTTATGAGGCTCCCCCGGGGGCCTCCAGGGGCAGGTGAGCTATGGGGGGGTTGGGCGCCCCAGCAGTGTGTCCCAGAGATGTGACTGCAGACGGGACATGCTCTGGGCCACCCAGCCTGTGCTGCCCCAAAGGGGACGGAGACCAGGCTGCAGAGGGACTGGGTCGGCACAGCTGCGGGTAAGAGCCGGAGGCTCAGCTGGAAGTGGGGATCTGGGGGTCAGCCAGCTGCAGGCCCGTCCAGGCCCCCAGCCAGGAGGAGACCTCATCTTGTGGGCGAGCCGAAAGAGGAACAGCGAAGCCCGGGTCATGGCTCCCAGCTGGGAGGGCTCGAGCAAGAGAAGTCAGTCCTGGTCTGGTCAGATGGGATGTGGCATTACAGAGGGCAGAGGGGTGGCTGACATGACCCAGAAACTTTCTGGCCTTTTCAGCTTTCTGGATGGACAGGGAGAGAGAGGAGGGGCGACAGAGACGAGTCTCCTTTCTTTGCCTGCCCCACCCCCACCCCACTTCCGCTCAAGCCCAAGCCAGGGATCTGTCAGGACTCGAGAGGTGGAAATTCTGGTTTTCCAGAACTCCCAGGGCTGGCTCCGGCACTATGGGCACCTGGACGGCTGCGCTCCCGGCCCAGCCGGGCTAAGGCCTCTGTCCCCTGCCTCCAGGGCCTGGGGAGCCCCTCCACCCCAGAGTCCGGGTCACCCGGGTTTCTGCGCTATGGCTAGCTCAAGGGTATGCAGGAAGGGGCGGGTGGCTGGGGGTGGACCATCCTGGGGACACAGATGCAGCGACCCGGGGAGACAGACTCCAGGGAGAGGGTCGGCTGCGGATGCTCCGGCAGTGCCCGGAGCCTGCTGGGCTCCTCATCACCTCCCTGCAAGGAGAGGGCCAGGTAGGTCTGCGCATCAAACACCTGCAGACCCGCGCCTGGCTGGGCCGAGGGGAGAGGTCAGAGCAGGCCCGCCCGGGTCATCCGAGGCCAGGGGTGAAGGCGCAGCCCCAGGGTATGCGCTGATCTGAAAGCGCGGGGAGAGACCCGTCCGATTCACCTCTATTTTAAGTGTGGGAATCTGCTCTCCAGAACCTCCCCTTCCGGGGGCCAGGCAGGGCTTTGGGGTCTGGACTATGGGGAAGGGAAGGAAAGGAGGAGACAGCAAGAAGGACTTCCTGAGAGTAAGGAGAGCAAAGACAGAGCGGGGCCAGTGGTGGCCGGAGGTCAGGACGACGGCCTGACGGCAGGACTTGGACCCAAAGGGCAGCGCGAGGCAGCGGGCGGGCGCCTGTGGGTGATGGAAGTGAGACTCTGCGGGCACCCTGCAAAGGAAGCTGTATCCTCCCCGGCACCCCCACCCCCCACTTCTGCTGCCTGGGGCTCTCCCATTGGTCCCCAGGGGGGGATGTGGTAAGGATGGCTCACGCTGAGTGCCCGGGCGCCTGTTTCCCCAGAGCCATCTGGTGACAGCTTCACGCTGAGCATGGCCCTCCCAGCCCCGGGCCGGGACCCCTGGAGCCTCCTGGGCCTTCTCCTCTCCCAGCTGTTCCTGGCTGTGCCGCTACCGCTGACCGCAGGGGGCGGAGGGCAGGAGCCCTTGCCCAGGATCACGTACCACGCAGGTAAGTGTCTGAGGGCCGGATGGGGCTGAACTGGAGGGGCAGAGGAGGACAGAGACCAAGGGAGAGGGGGAGGCAAGGGACAGGGTGAGGAGGGGAGATTGTGGTCTCACAGCGCCAGAGACTGAGGAAGGAGTGAAGAAACCGTATGGCGAAAGACTGAGGGACAGGAGGGACCGGGGCACCTCTCGGAGGAGGTGGTTTTTCCTTCCGTCCTCACCGGGCCTGGTCCTCAAGCTGGGCACTTCAGACCCTAACCGCTTTCACACCCCCCCCAAACCAAGGCCCATGCTAGAAGGTTATCCGTGGACCTGGCAGCCCAGGACATGGCAGGCACGTGACCACCACACAGACCATGCTGGACCACGCCGTGTCCAGTGCCGTGGACCCCAGGAATAAGAGAATCAGGGCGGCCTGCTGGGGTCCAGGCCCTGGGACGCTATCGGCTGGTTTCTTTTTCTTTCTTTCTTTCTTTTTTTTAAGATTTTATTTATTTGACAGAGAGAGAGAGAGAGATCACAAGCAGGCAGAGAGGCAGGCAGAGAGGGAGGAGGAAGCAGGCTCCCCGCTGAGCAGAGAACCCAGGACCCTGGGATCATGACCTGAGCTGAAGGCAGAGGCTTTAACCCACTGAGCCACCCAGGTGCCCCTGTTGGCTGGTGTCTTGCTGAGGCTGTGGGGGCCCATGTTCCTCCCACTTCCAGGGAGAAGGTCCAGGAAGGATGCCCTTCCTGGAACCAGCTTGCTTCCCCCGCCCAGGTGACATCCAACCATGCCAACAGGGGCCTCTGAAGACATATGGTCCCTTCTGCTCAGCCTCTGGCTGTGATTCTAGTGGCTGAAGTTTCCTGCTAGAGGAGAGGAAGGGGGGTTGGCAAGTGTGACCCTACAACCCACAGCTACCCCGACACACCATCCCATGTGGCTCACAGTATCTTCTTGTCTGTCCCTCTGCCTTCTGCTCCCCCTGCTCCTCCCTGGGGAGGATCAGGGCATCCTTACCCTGCCCCCAGCGCCCGCCAGCCCTGGAAGAATGTCCATGTGCCTTGCTCGATTTCCTGTCCCTTTGTCAATCTCTTGGGTGCAGCCACCTTCCCCCAGTCCCAGATTGTCATTAGCCTGTCTCTGGCAGCCTCTTCTCTCCCCTATGGGCTCAACAAGGGGAGCCGCTGATGGAGAGCAGGTCCAGCTTCCAAGGCCCGGGAAGCACATTCTGCCAACCCTTCTCCCCACCCCCCCACCTTGAGCTCAGGAATCATCTGCCTGCCCAGCCACCCCTCATCATTCACCCCTTCTCATCACTTCCCAACAGGGGAGGGACGCAGGGATCTCAGCCTCTTCCACCAGAAGGGCCTCCGGGATTTCGACACCCTGCTCCTGAGCGATGACGGAGGCACTCTCTATGTGGGGGCTCGAGAGGCCATTCTGGCCTTGGATATCCAGGACCCAGGGATGCCCAAGCTGAAGAACATGGTGAGGAGGCCGGGGATGAAGGGTGCTGGCCTGGTGCGTGGGGGTACGGGCAGCTGCTGGGGGCCTGGACTGCCCACGCATGACTCACTGCGCAAGCGCTGTCCACTCTAACCCCTGGCGCTTAGCCATTCCCGACGCAGGTATCTGGTCTGCAGAGCAGATAAGAAACACCACGGTGGCCTCACTGCTTGCTAGTACCATGCACCCTGGCCAAATAACATTAATTGCTAAAATGGCTGATATGGAAATCATTGACACTGAAGGAAGCGTGGACTGGAGTTCTATCAATAGTACGATGTCCACCCGCCGGCAGAAATCCCCAAAGCTTCCGTGTGAAGTCATAGTCACCCTCCTGCCGGGAACACTGTGAGGAGGACAGGGGGAAGGAAGGAGGGACGGAGCTGAGGGTCTCTGAGCGTCTCCCTTGTCTCCCTCGATGCGTCTCTCAGGCTGTGGTCTCTGGGCCACCTGTGCGTACGGGATGCTGGTTGAAAATGCAGATTCTCTGAGGTGTGAGCTAGGAACTGACATTTTAAACAAGTTCCCCAGGAAACGTGTGGTTTGTCGACTGCCGCTCTGCCTAGCCTGCTGGGTATTGGGTACTTTCCATATGACCCTGGTTGTGCCCTCCGGAAGCCTGTGCAATGGACTAGGACCCCTCACCCAGGGAGTGGCTGAGCCTGGATTCAAACTCGGGTCTCATTCCACAGGCTGGGTTCTCCAGTAGAGCCGCACCCTCCTGAACACCGGCATCCTTCGGGCAATAGCCAAGGTCAAGGGCTGGTGTTATTATAGCTCATCAGTGTGCACTGACCACAGTGCGTGCTGGTAGATTCAAAGCGGACCCGAGGAGAGGACAGCGGGTCAAAGCTAGAGCAGAAGACCTCACTGTCCTCTCCCTCCTGACCCCTACCGCTGCAGATCCCCTGGCCGGCCAGTGACCGGAAAAAGAGTGAGTGCGCCTTTAAGAAGAAGAGCAATGAGGTGAGTGGAGGTGGGGGTGTAGGGACACTGGATGGGGAACCCCCGAGTCCCCAGAGCATCACTGGATGACATCTGGTTGGGCAGGCAGTGGAGGAGACTTCTTTCCTAGGCGATCGCCTGAATCACGTTCTGTGAAGATGTCCAGGGACCCCCCCCCCGCAATTCTGGGCCCTCTCCCCACCAGGAAGTGGGGGGGCAGCCCGTGGGGCCCAAGCGTGTGGGGCAAGTGGCCAGACATCCGGATTCTCTGTCTCCCCAGACACAGTGCTTCAACTTTATCCGTGTCCTGGTCTCTTTCAACGCCACCCATCTGTACACCTGCGGTACCTTTGCCTTCAGCCCTGCTTGTACCTTCATTGTGAGTTACGGGGCACCAGTGCCCAGACCTGAGCATCCCTTCTCACACCTACACCCCGCCCCTGCCCCCGCAAACCCCCCCCCTGCTCTGGAAAACTCTGCTCTTCTGGATGCGGGACCCTTGTGAGCTTCTTGGCCCCAGTTCCCCTCCACATCCCTCTCCCTTCCACACGCCCCTCATTTCCCAGACATGAGACTCTGGCGTTCTGGCCCCCAGCCTCTCCCCCCCTTTAGGAACTCCGAGATTCCGAACTGTTGCCCATCTCCGAGGACAAGGTTGTGGAGGGGAAAGGCCAGAGCCCCTTTGATCCTGCCCATAAGCACACCGCTGTCTTGACAGGTGAGTATCAGGTTCCCAGTAGGGGCTTTCCCGGGTCATTCTGTGAAATATGGAAGCTGACAGTTTCCTGAAAGGCAGGGGACAGAGGGAGGGGAAGCCAGGAGCCTCAGAGCACTAGATTGGAGGGGCACTCAGCACCCCAACCACCAGCTCCCCAACCGCAAAGGAGGTGGGGGGAGAGGCAGAGAGAGGTTCGTTCACATAGGCGGCGGGGGGGGCCTGGGAAGGGTCTTGGGCAGAGAAGAGGCCTGAGGCTCAGCCACTTGTCCATAGATTATAGAGACCTCACTGTCTGCGCCCTCCCATACACAAACCACAACAGGCTCCCCACCCTGGCTTCTTGGAGGAGGTGGCCTTTGGTTTTTAGTGGGACCTCAGAAGCTGGGGTAGACGCACTGGGAAGATGTTCCAGAAGGAGAAGAGTGGGACCAAGGCGTGGAAGCAGAAAGCTCCGCCAACTCTGGGGAGGAAAGAGGGATCCTTTCTGGTAGGGGGTTCAGCTGGGCACGCAAGGGAGCAGGCAGGGAAGGGCTGGACAAGGCCAGCACGCAGAAGGACGACGGAGGGGGGCTCCACCCTGCCGCAGGAGGCCCTAACAAGGGTGCTCAGTGGGGTCTACCAGCTGGGCTGTGGGCGCCCCAGGAAGCTGCATCCTCCAACGAGGATGCCTCCCGCCCTCTCCCCTAGATGGGATGCTCTATTCTGGCACCATGAACAACTTCCTGGGCAGCGAGCCCATCCTGATCCGCACGCTGGGACCCCAGCCCGTCCTCAAGACCGACAATTTCCTCCGCTGGCTGCAGCGTAAGGACCCGAGCCCTCAGCCCAGGTCTGGCTCTGCCCTGAGCGCGGAGACCCAGCCCGAGAGCCGCGGTTCCCGCACTCCGCGGTCCTCTGTGCCAGGAGGCCTGTTCGGGGAGGGGGTGCAGTTCCCGCCCCCGTGGCAGGCGCCCCCAGCGCCACCTCCGGCCAGCCGCGGGGCGTCCCGTCGGGCGGCCACCCGCGGCACAACCGGCCCGGGGGTCGCAGTCCTAAGCCTCCCCGCCCCGCCCCGCAGCGGACGCCTCCTTCGTGGCCGCCATCCCTTCCACGCACTTCGTGTACTTCTTCTTCGAGGAGACGGCGAGCGAGTTCGAGTTCTTCGAGAAGCTCCACACGTCGCGGGTGGCCAGAGTCTGCAAGGTCTGGGGCCCGGGCGGGGGGCGGGGCCGGCCGTCGGGGGAGCCACTGGGGAGGTGGCAGAGGCGGGGCCGAGCTCCCAGGGCCCAATGGGAGCGGGACGGGGGCGGGGCTACGGGGCCGAGGCGTCCCTGACTCCGCCCCCGCGGCCCTAGAACGACGTGGGCGGGGACAAGCTGCTGCAGAAGAAGTGGACCACCTTCCTGAAGGCCCAGCTGCTGTGCTCCCAGCCGGGGCAGCTGCCCTTCAACGTCATCCGCCACGCTGTCCTGCTGCCCGCCGCCGCCTCCGTCGAGCCCCGCGTCTACGCGACCTTCAGCTCTCAGTGGTGAGCAGAGCAGTGGGGACACGGGGGCGGCACGCGTGTCGTGGGGCCCAGAGCGTCCACTGCATGCGCTTCACCTAGGAAGGCATGGACCCGGCACTACGTCCCAGGAATCTGACTCATGACCTTCGTGGAGGTGGGAAAATTAGGCTCAGAGAGGTTCTTTCTGCCCGCTTCCAAGAAGGATAGGAGGCTTAACAGAAGGGGAACATTGAGACCAGATAAGGTCAAACCGATGAAATGGGAGTAAAAAAGGAGGACGAGAAGGCAGGGATAGGGTGAGCACATCACAAATGGCTGTCGCTGGCGCAGTGCTGGGAAGCTGGTTACAAATTTAGCTCTGAGCTTCCTAATGGCCAGAGCAAAGAGGGAAACACCATTTCTAGGATAAGAGTAGTCATTGCTTGGAGGCTGGGAAAAGTTCATTGATTTGCTGTGATCTGGCCCCACAGTATTTAGGTGTCTGCTGACCATATGTCAGGTACCAAAGATATCTGCTGTCAGCAGGGGCTGGTATCCGTGGCATCCGGAACTGAGAATATGGGGTGTGCCACAGTCTGGCTAAAGGGAACAAGAGAAACCTGTCTTCACAGACCTGGGCTGAATGAATAAAAATAGTCTCATAGTCAGGCTCTGGTTGGTTGTCTGAGGACCAAGAATCCAGGAGGCCCAAAGGATCACAGCTTCATCATCAGGGGCTGGTTCCATGGCCCCTCCAATGGGTACAGCCCAGCCTGGGCAAGACAGGAAGGAGCCGCCCCAAGACCTGCGCCCAGTTAATTATCCTTAAGGATAATCCTAAGATGAGCCAGAGTGAGGGGCTCTCCTGGCCCTTATCACAGGGGCGGGGGGGGGCAGTAAACTGGGCCCTCCACACTCCTGCCCTCCAGGGCTTTCTCACAGGGGTGGGCCAGGCCTGGAGCTGGTAGAGCAGAGGAGATGACCGTGTCTGCTCTGGTTGTCCCCAGGCAGATCGGTGGGACCAGGAGCTCTGCTGTCTGTGCCTTCTCTCTCAAGGACATCAAGCGTGTCTTTGAGGGGAAGTACAAGGAGTTGAACAAAGAGACGTCACGCTGGACGACTTACGGGGTCCCCGAGATCAGTCCCCGGCCAGGCAGCGTGAGTACCACCCCCCACACCCAGCAGTCCTTCGCCCCACTGATACACACACATCCTGCATATGGAAGCATGATCAGTGTCCAATAAATGTTACCCAGTCCTGTCTGCTCAGGTACACACCTGCTCCCGTGGCCCGCATTCCACAGGTGTCCATGCATCCTACACACAGAGAAGTCCCCCCGCCGCTAAGTGCACCCCAAGTACCCGGGGTATCATGGAGGAGACAAGGGAGCCCCGGCTGTGCCAAGAACTGCCTGGGCATCTGATTCTGCCTTTCTTATTTAACTTCCGCGTTTTGATCAGAGTTGTATACAGATCTACGTGGTCATTTACCAAAAACAGCCCTATGCAGCGTCCTACACTTTTCCCTCTGTAGAGGGACAACCTCTTTTAGCTGAGCTGATACCTTTTGTATTTATCTCCAAATCTCTAACATACTGTTATTGCTCCTTCTTGATGTTTGAGTTTCAGTAGGATCTATCGAATCCCATTCTGGGTGGTGACGATTTCCCTAAGCCCCTCACCCCTACCCAGGCATGTAGGCACTGGCCTGCAGCAGCCAGCAAGAACCGTTTGGGGACATCTCTTTCCAAGCTCATGTGCGCTGACATGATGCCGGTGGCCTGAGACCCGCGGGAATTAGGGCTGCCTGCCCCCTGAACCCTGAACTGTTTTACCAGGACACCACTGCACCCAGCCCTCATCTCTCAACAGAGTTTTATAGTAATTTTGGTTAGATCAGTATTTAGATCAGGACTCATTAACAGCTGAGCCAGGAAGCAGGCCCTGATTACGTTTCCTTTTTGCATAATTTAAAAATTTCCCGAGGGTGTGTAACTATCTTTCTTCTTTTTCTTTCTTTTTTCTTCTTTTACTTTCTTAATTTGCTTTTTCTTTTCTTTTCTTTTTCTTTTTCTCTTTTCACTGCTTTGTTTTCTAAGCTCTTATCATTAATTCTACCCCAAACCCTTCCTCAATAATTTGCATCTCTTCTGAAGACAGATGCATTAGGCATTCTAACAGGTTTGCCTTCATGGAGGTGGTTCCCATGAGCTGCATCCCAGACCAGCCCCCTGCACTGCCGCCATCCTAGAATTTCCCTTCTCGTCCTTCTGGGCATTTCCTTTGTATCTCTCCGTGAAGTTCTCGTGGTTCTGACACCCATGGCTTCCTCTATTTTTTTTTAATTCTTTTCTTTTGTTTTTAAAGATTTTATTTATTTATTTATTTGATGGAGTGAGTGAGAGAGAGAGAACACACATGAACAGGGGCCCATACCTTGTTGAGCAGGGAGTCCGACTGGGGACTTGATCCTAGGACCCTGGGATCCTGATCTGAGCCGAAGGCAGACGCTTAACCGTTTGAGTCCCCCACGTGCCCCAAAATACAGTTTATTTGAATCAAAATCTAAGTAAGATATGTAACTTTGGATTAGCTGTTTTTTTTTTCTTTCTTTCTTTCTTTTTTTAAGATTTTATTTACCTATTTGACAGACAGAGATTGCAAGTAGGCAGAGAGACAGGCAGAGAGACAGAGAGGAGGAAGCAGGCTCCCCGCTGAGCAGAGAGCCTGATGTGGGACTCGATCCCAGGACCCTGAGATCATGACCTGAGCTGAAGGCAGAGGCTTAACCCACTGAGCCACCCAGGCGCCCCTCTTTGTTTTTTTTTTTTTAAAGTTTACTTATTGAAGTAATCTCTACACCCAGCGTGAGGCTAGAACTCGCCCCGTGGGATGGAGAGCAGCACATGATCCCGACGGAGCCCGCTGGGCGCCCCTTGGATTTGTTGTTCTTTTAAGGCTCTTTTAATCTGTACATTCCACCATCTTCTTTTCTCTTGCCATTTGCTTGTCCTGTGGAATTCTTCTCAATCTGGATCTCAGGGCCTCCGGGTCTCTGTGGTGGAGTTGCCGTTGCTCCTGCGCCTCGTTGGAGGCTGGGCCTAGAGACTCTGTCCAATCAGAGCCCCATGGGGGCGTAAGACCGCTTCGGTAGTTCTTTGCTGGGAGAGGGTCTGTTTCCTCTGGGTCATTTAGCTTTTCGTTTTTTTCCCATCAGTTCGTTTTGGTCTCTTTTGTGTTCATGGTTTAACTCACGGGTCTGATGGCCCTGGCCTCTCTGTTCCTGTGAGAAGGGCCCGTGAAGTTCTCCAGAAGCTTCTTCCGTGGACATGACCGCCAGCGGGGGCTCCCCGATGCCCCGCGGAAGGTGGCCTGGCCAGGCGGTATTCTCAGGGGTCCTCCGCATCAGTATCATCAGGTCTTACCTCTGACCTGCAGCCAGTTTTCTGGGGCCCTCTTCCAGCCTTGTGCTTGGAGGGAGACAGCCTGGCTGCTGGCCCTGGAGGGCCAGAGGGCTGGGGGACCATGTCCCCACATGCACTGGTCTCCCCCTGGTCTCTCCCCCTACTTTCAACGTGTGCCTGCTGGCCGTGCCCAAAGACCCTCGGCTTTCTGGTCTCCAGAGAAGGACCCTCCAGTCCTGGGCCTGGGGCCTGCAGGGCCAGCCCCTCCAGCCCTGCGTGTGGGACCCCAGCCTGCCCTCCTGATGCAGCCTCCCCCCACCCCTACTTCCAGAGGTGGCTACCGCCATTCGTGACCTTTAGAGAGTCTGCCTTGTAAGTTAGACCCTTTTGGCTACCCCAGGGCTGGCTTAAGAAAATTATTTCCTTTTTTTCCTGCTCAGTCTTTTGCCATCTTTGTTTGTTTGACTTCCAGCTTTCACCCTGTGTCTGCCTTTGCTCTCCCCCTGCCCCGTCCCCCCACTTTCGGGGTAGGGGGAGGAAGTGAGAGTAGGTGCACGTGCTCCTTCTGGCATCAGAATGAAACACAGATGTTCTTACCTCACGTCACAGATGAGGAAATGGAAGCATGTGGAGGGGGAGTGACATCTGCACAGCGGCAGCTGACGGAGGGGGGCACCGTGAACCGGTGACATGCTGTGCTGTGTGCAGGGCCTGGAATTCAGCAGCCCCAGGGTCCTGAGATGGGGACTGCCTTGAGAGAGGGACCAGTGGGGGTGCCGGAAGGCGACAGTGAGCTTGCGGGGCAGAGAGCACTGACCTGAGGCTCCTACTTCCCCTTGTAGTGCTCCGTGGGCCCCTCCTCCGACAAAGCCTTGACCTTCATGAAGGACCATTTCCTGATGGACGAGCAGGTGGTGGGGACTCCCCTGCTGGTGAAGTCTGGTGTGGAGTACACGAGGCTTGCGGTGGAGACAGCCCAGGGTGCCGACGGGCATAGCCATCTGGTCCTGTACCTGGGCACCGGTGAGTAAAGGCTCCCGATGTCCCGCGGCGACCAAGCGGGGAATTGTGACTCAGGCTGCGGAGGGAAACCGCGGACTCCGTTCACTCCCGCTCTCATTCCACAAACGCTTGCTGAGCACCTGCTATGTGTCTGGCGCCCCGTGGGGCTCTAGGATACGGTGGGATCGCCCGACAGCCCAGTGTCCACCCTGTCTGAGCTTTGAGTCTGGAGGGGGTGACGGACACAGAGCACAGAGGGCTTTGATGGCCGGACCAGGAGCTGTTTGTCTCCCAAAGCCCCATTAGAGCTGTGAAGAAGTGAGCCGGTGGCGGGTGGCGGGTGGCTGGGAGCAGCCAGCGGGGGGACAGTCCTTCAGAAAGTTGGCCGTGAAGGGAAGCGGGGAGGGGAGACTGGAGGAAGGAGGGGGCTCCTGCCATCAGGCTTCTTTTTTTCTTTATCTTTTTTTTTTTTTAAGATTTTATTTATTCACTTGATAGAGATCACAAGTAGGCAGAGAGGCAGGCAGGGAGAGAGAAGAGAAAGCAGGCTTCCTGCTGAGCAAAAAGCCTAATGTGGGGCTTGATCCCAGGACCCTGAGATCACGACCCAAGCTGAAGGCAGAGGCTTTAACCCACTGAGCCACCCAGGTGCCCCCAGGTTTCTTTTTTTTAAGATGGAAAGGTCCTCAGGCTCTAGGAGAGAGGCAGCCGGTGAGGAAGTGAGTGGGTGGGTAAGGGGTGACTGGCAGGTGACGTTGAAGAGCGAGGAGGAAGCTGGAGTCCAGGACGCAGGTGGGGGGCAGCCCCCATGCTGGGATGGGGTGAGGAAGTAGAAGAAGGTAGGGCTGGGAGTGGGCGTCTGGCAGGGAGCAGAGGTTGCTGTCACAGGCAGGTTTTGGTGTTCTGTACAGGAGGAGGACATGGGGTCTGGGGCTGGGGACGAGGGGTGGAAAAGCAGGGAGGTGTGAGGAGAAAGGGCTACATTCAAAAGTCAGTGTGGACGGGACGCCTGGGTGGCTCAGTTGGTTAAGCGGCTGCCTTCGGCTCAGGTCATGATCCCAGCGTCCTGGGATCGAGTCCCGCATCAGGCTCCTTGCTCGGCGGGGAGCCTGCTTCTCCCTCTGCCTCTGTCTGCCTGTGCTCGCTCGTTCTCCCTCTGTCGCTGAAAAATAAATAAAATCTTAAAAAAAAAAAAAAAGTCAGTGTGGAAGGAAGGAGAGAGAGTCAGCGGGGGAACGTGCAAGATTGCCAGGCGTGTGTGTTGAGGGCCTGGTGGGGGTAGATGACCTTGAGCTTCCGTGGAAGAAAGCTACCAGTGCACCGATCCCAGCCACTGTCTCCGCTGCGCGCCTGTTGGGTTCTAGCAGAGAGCAGGACAGACGAAAGCTCGGTGCCTGTGGGACTCATGGAGACAGACAACGCGTGTAGCACATGAGTCACGGACCTAGTGTGTTTTGAGATTAGAAATTGATTTGGAGGGAGGGTGGACCCCCAGCCACAGCCGGGGGGGAGGGTGTGATTTCTAATGACGCGGTCAGCGCGACCTCACTGAGGCCTGTGGAGGAGGGACACACCGCTGAGGGTGGCGGCTGCCGGGGTTTCTGCAGAAGCACGTGGCTGTCCTTGGCCCCAAGTCCCTGGGGGTGTGGGTTGGGTTCTTGCAAAGGAAAGACAGAGGGGCAAGGGGTTCCAAGTCGTTGATAACAGAGTTCCCGTCAGCCCCACGGCATGGAAGGGAGCAGCCTGATGGGCTGTGCTGGGTTCCCTTTGGAGGAGTCTGGAGTCAGAGGCCACGCACGAGGGCCCGTGGAAGAGGTGACAGTCTCCACCGTCTGTCTCTCCACAGCCACAGGGGCCCTCCACAAGGCTGTGGTGAGTGGGGACAGCGGTGCTCATCTGGTGGAGGAGATCCAGCTGTTCCTCGATCCGGAACCTGTCCGCAACCTGCTGCTGGCCCCTGAGCAGGTGGCAAGGGCCCTTCTGACGAGGCGGGGCTGGGGGGCTGGGTCCTTACTGGGGTTGCAGAGGTCACTGTCCCTCTCTTTTCCAGGGCGCAGTGTTTGCAGGCTTCTCAGGGGGCATCTGGAGGATTCCCCGAGCCAACTGCAGCATCTATGAGAGTTGCGTGGACTGTGTCCTGGCCCGGGACCCCCACTGTGCCTGGGACCCCGAGTCCAGAACCTGCCGCCTGGTGCCCAGCCCCATCCCGTGAGTGCCGATCCTGGATGGCAGTGGAGGCTGGGCCACTGGGACCTTCTTACCCAGCGTGTGGGGCACGGTCCCACCCAGGGTCTCCCTCCCGGGGCCAAGGCTCCTCCTGGGGTGGGTTGAAGCGAGGGGTCTTGGAGCTGCCCCAGCCGCCTGGGTTTACCTGCGACTTCTCTGTCCTGACCCCCCACCTCCCTCTCATCCTCCATCCTCTTCCCACTTTGGTCTGTTTCAAGGCCTGAGGTTTGCTCTCTGCCTTCGCAGGAGGTCCTGGAGACAGGACACGGAGCAAGGGAATCCAGGGTGGGCATGTGCCACTGGCCCCATGGGCCGGAGCCACCAGCCCCAGAGCCGTCCCCAAATCAGTGAGTGTGGAACTGGGTGAGGGTGGGGGGAGGCTCAGGCGGCTGCCCCCCAAGCACCCGCTGGCTTGCGAGCCCAGCACCCGACCGGGCGAGGATTTCAGGCCTGGCTTCGGGCGGGAGGATGGGAATTCCAAGCGGGGATTCCGGATTGGGGCTGAAGTCTGTTTTGGTGTCAGAGTTGGAGTCAGATGAACCAAGGTTAGTCTGGGGTCCAGATTGGAGATAGACGAGGGCTCAGCTTTGAGGGTGGGGGCTGAACTGGAAGGTGGAGAGGGGAGTCAGGGTCCAGATGTCCGTAGAGCTTTCCTGCCCTCCTGGTCCCCTGCCCTTAGCCGTATCCCCTTCCTTCATCTCCAGTTAAAGAAGTCCAGGCTGCGCCCAACTCCATCCTGGAGCTCCCCTGCCCCCACCTCTCGGCTTTGGCCTCGTACCGCTGGACTCGAGGTGCGGCCGAGATCCCAGAAGCCTCTTCCGCGGTCTACAACGGCTCCCTGGTGCTGCTGCTGCAGGGCGGTGTAGGAGGCCTGTACCAGTGCTGGGCCACAGAGAACGGCTTCTCTTACCCCGTGGTCTCCTACTGGGTGCACAGCCAGGACCAGCCCCTGGCCCTGGACCCCGAGCTGGCAGGCATCCCCCGGGAGCGTGTGGATGCCCCACTGACCAGGGTTGGGGTTGGGGCTGCTCCGGCTGCCCAGCGGTCCTACTGGCCCCACTTCCTCACAGTCACTGTGCTCCTGGCCTTAGTGCTTTCAGGGGCCCTCCTCCTCCTCCTTGTCTCCCCGCTGGGGGCTCTCCGAGCCCGGGGCAAGGTGCAGGGCTGTGGGACCCTGCCCCCAGGGGAGAAGGCCCCTCTGAGCCGGGAGCAGCACCTCCAGCCTCCCAAGGAATGCAGGACCTCGACCAGCGATGTGGACGCTGACAACAACCACCTGGGCACGGAGGTGGCTTAGGCTCTGGGCAGGGCTGTGGCCATGTAGGGTAGGGTAGGGCGGGGTGCCCAGCTGGGCTGCCTGGGGGACCTGGGGCAGTGTAGCCCCAGGACAGGCAGGAGCACAAAACACCGCCTTCTTGTTGTGCCACTGGTGGTCCTCAGCGGGCCGGACACAGCGGCCTGAACCCCTGTGGGCTGTCCCTCCATCGCGCACTGGGCTCTCTACCGGGCCGTCCCAGACCCGGACCAGACAAGACCTGGAGCCCATCCTTCATCTCCGGCCGTTCCAAGACCTTCCAGAAACATGCTGCTCCAGGAGCCCCTGAGACCCGGGACTGTTCAGGCCCCCGTGGTAATAAACACCGAGGTACGAACGACATAGCAGGCCGCTGCCCAGAGACCCCACGGGGGGCCGCCGCCACCGCCGCCACAGACACCAAGGCTCCGCTGTTCCGGGTCCCTGCCCGGAGCTGCCCCTCCTGCTCCCCTATCAGCCACATTGCTGACTCCTGGGAAGTCCTTCTGGAGGTCTGACCACCTTCCTTCTTGTTTCAGCCAGGGCGGACTGTGGCCCCTGCCGTGGCTGGAAGGACGGGGTAATCTAGGCCTTGTTCCCTCCTCCACTCTGGCTGACCTCTTGAGCCCTCTCCGCTCCCCTTTCCTTTATTTTGGGATCCAGACTACCGCTTATCACAGACAGTTTATTTTTTATTAAAAAGACAAAGCTCACGACTCGTGCCGTTTTCTGGGAGCAGAAGGCGGCCGCAGAGGATGGAGGGGGCGGCAGCGGAGGGCCTCAGCGGGGAGCAGCGCCAGGTCCGTGGGGCCAGGGCTGTCCAAAGGCAAACCGCCTCTTCTGCCACGCCGGCTGCCCACCCAGAACCAACCCCGCAGCCCTTTCCTCATCCATCGCCCACGCGCGCCATTCCCTGTCTGGGCAGCTGCTGTCCCCGCTGTCCCCGTTGTCCCCAATCCCGTTCCCCATGTTCGCTGTCGGTGTCCACTCTTGGCCGACTGAATTTACGGAGAGACCCTACGGCCACCCCCAGCTGGGGCATCCCCTTCCCCAGTCCCACAACAACCTTGTGTAGGGCTCCCCCGGGGGCTCCTCTCACCAAGACCCCGGCACTGACCGCACTCCACCGCTCCTCCCCTCCCCGCTCCCCTACCCCTCCCCACATCTGCACTGGCTGTTCCCTGCAGGGTCCAAACTAAGAAGGGCTCTGCCCTCCCCACCCCCGCCCGCCAACGCCCTCGGGCTCTCTTTCCTGTTCTCACCCAAACCCAGACAGGGCCTCTTCTGGCTGCCCACCCACGGCTCCCCCGGGGACAACCTTGCCCTCTCAGGTGCCCTGTGCTCTGGCTTTCTGTCCCACCTGTCTGTACCGATGACTCTGAAGCTACTCATAAGCCCCAAGGAGCCTTGACCTCTCTGCCACCTTCACACTTGGCCACTGCACTCCCATGACTCTCTTTCTCTGGGGCTTCTCCTTTTTCCTTAACATTTTTATTTGTAACGCGGCTCAAAGCAAAGAACACGCGGTTTACCCCCTTCACGGACCGCCACGGAGTGTTGCCTACGATCCCGTTGCTGTGTGATGCCGCCAGAACCTGCCTTCCTGTGGCGCTGGATCTCTGCCCCTCGAACAGCATCTCCCCCTTGCCGGGCCCCTGCGGGCCCTGCAACCACCAGTCCCCTCTCTGTGAATTTGGCTACGGGAGGTGTGTCCTGTGAGGGGAGTCGCACAGTATTTGGCCTTCCGCGACGGGCTTCTTTCACTCCCCGTGATGTCCTCATGGCTCACGCATGTCGGAGGACCTCCTTCCTCGCTGGGGGGGAGCACTGTTCCCCTGGGCACCCGTCCCGCCACTTCTCCCCTGTTCTCGCGCCGGAGGACCCTCCGTTGTCGCATTTTTCGGCTACGGCGGACACTGCTGCAGTGAGCACGGGTGGGCAAGTCTCTCCTCCAGACCCCGTTTTCTGTGCCTTCTTTTCTTTTCTGGAGGGGGTCTTCTTCTCTAGGAATGTCTCCCCCCGCCCTCCCGCGCAATGGCTCCGTCTTCCTCGGTCACCAAAAGCACTGTTAGCGCAAGCCTGGCTTCTGCTGTTCAAGCACCTGCCAGACAAGCCTGTGGCTCCAGCCACCCCCTCCCACCCCGGGTCCTCTCGACCAAGAGCAGTGGGGCTGCGGAGGGCGCTAGGCCACAGCGGGGCTGCTGGGAACTTGCACTCGGCCTACGTCCCTGTCCGCGCCGCAATCCCTCACCTCTCAGAAGGAAGGAAGGTACCGGAAGCCCCTCCTGCTTCAAGCATTATGGAACCCTCGCTGCCAAGTGCGTCTGTCTCCTCAGCGAGCTTTCTCCCGGCTCCAGCCAGCCCGAGGACAAGCCCGCCAGACATCTTCCTCCAGGCCACCCAGAGGCGTCCGGAAGTGCGTCCTTTCTCTGCCCTTCGATGCTTCCCCTCAACATTACTCTGGAAACGTCTCTTTCCTCATTCCCCTCTGAGGTACAATTTAGATGCCTCCACTCGATCTTCCCAGCTGGCCCCAGTCCTGGTGGTCATTCCTCCCCGGGATTTCCCTGGTGCTCACTGTCTGCCTCACTCAGGAGGTGCCCAGAGCCAACCCTAAGAATGTGACACTGAGAGTGGGCCCAGGGCAGGGGTGGGGGGGGCATGCATCTCAGGCCACCCCCACAGCCGGCAGGTGAGGCGTGCATGAGGCTTTACGCACTGGCCACAGGAGGCTTCCGGAGATTCTCACCATTTGTGACAGCACGGCCTCTGTCCGGCTCGCCCTGAGTGACCTCTGTGTAGCCTTTGACCTTGGTGACCTTTCCGTCCAGCAACACCTGTGCTCCCGTCTCCAGCTGCGCACTTGCTCACCTGCCTGCCTGTCCCGGCATCTGAGGTTCTCTCGGGCATCATTCCCTTCTCTCCGCTGAAAGCTCCCTTGGAGGGACGCCGGGGTGGCTCAGTCATTGAGCGTCTGCCTTCAGCTCAGGTCATGATCCCAAGGTCCTGGGATCAAGCCCCGCATTGGCTCCCTGCTTGGCAGGAGGCCTGCTTCTCTCTCTCCCATTCCCCCTTCCTGTGTTCTCTCTCTCGCTGTGTCTCTCTCTGTCAAATAAATAAATAAAATCTTAAAAAAAAAAAAGAGCCCTTGGACAGTGTGTCCATACCTACTGCTCTCTCTCCCACCTCTTAACGAAGGACGCCCACCCGTCCCTCCACCCGTCCATCCTCCCACCCGTCCGTCCCTCCACCCGTCCATCCCCCGACCCATCCGTTCAGCAAACATGCACTCTGCCCCGGCTGTGGTCCAGAATGTGACGTGGCCAGTCCTACTTCCTGTCTGCATGGGGTTTACAATGCAGCAGCAGGGACAGCTGGCTACGAGCTGGGGAAGAGGTATTGAGGGGGACAGTGCTTTACCTGCCATGCCAGCTACTGCTTCCCCCCACCTGGACACACCACAGACATCTCTAACTCAACATGTCCCAAATTCAATTTGTCATCCCCTCCAAACCCACACCCTCTTCCATGTTCCCCTGTGCTGGCTTGTCACACCCCAATGTGGAGGCCTATGGCTTGTCCTACAATTCCTCTCTCCCACCTCTCCCTGGGGACTGGGTCCCCACCCTATCTCCTCCCCCGCCCTCGTTTGTCCCTGCAGTCCCACCGGGTCCTGACCCCCTCGCCAAGGCAGCCAGAGCTGACCCCTCACCGGCCCCTTCCACCTCTCTGCCACTCCCATCCAGACTCCATTCTCCGGCCAGGATCAAGAAGAGCTTGCTAGAAACGATTCTGCCACAAATTTGAAATGGCTGGGGCACCTGGGGGTTCCGCTGGCTGAGTGTCTGACTCTTGACTTCAGCCAGGTCGTGATCTCAGGGTTGTGAGATCAAGCCCTGCGACAGACGTCACGCTCAGCAGGGAGTCTGCCTGAGGTTCTTTCTCTTCCTCTGCAACCCCTCCCCTTGCTCGAGCACGTGCAAGCTCACGCTCTCCAATACATAAATAAATAAATCTGAAGAAAAAAACTTGAAATGGCTTTTCACTCAATCCAGACTAAAGAACTCCAGCATGACCTCCAGGGACAGCGTGCCTTCCTCCAGCTGCTCTGCATACGCCTCCTACTACGTGCAGTGACTGAGCTCCTGGGACCATTTTCCAAGAACCTTTTACTGAGTGTCCAGTGTCATTCCAGGCCTTGGTGACACAGAGATCAGTAGCCTCCTGCCTAACGGAACTAACAGTGACGTTCCTTGAGGCATGCCGTTTCTTCCCCCTGGGACATCATCCCCTCTGGATTGTTCTCCAACCTACCGTGCAGAGTTAGTGCCCTGGGCACACCTCGCTGTAATCCCTTTCATACATGGCTGCTACTTTACCGGGTTTCTGTGTACCTGGCATATAGTCTCAATGCTGAAATCCTTTCATTCATTCAAACATTTACTGAGCACTTACTACGTGACAGGCACTGTGAGGTGCTAAGGACACACCGATGAACAAAGTAGACACAGTTATTATTTTTTTAAGATTTTATTTTTTTGAGAGACAGAGATCACAAGTAGGCAGAGAGGCAGGCAGAGAAAGAGGGTGAAGCAGGCTCCCTGCTGAGCAAAGAGCCCTATGTGGGACTCGATCCCAGGACCCCGAGATCACGACCTGACCTGAAGGCAGAGGCTTAACCCACCAAGCCACGCAGGCGCCCCAGTAGACACAATTCTTGTGATCATAGAGCATACATCCCAGTGTGGGAGACAGACGACAGAGATAGTCAAACAGGTAGGGTATATTAGAGGGTGATGTGCTATAAAGGAAAAAATTGAGTTGCAGGAAGAAGGTTGAGTGGAATGAGTGTCTACAGATAGGAGATCCAGAGTAGGTCTCCTGAGTAACGTGAAGTTTGAGCAGTGAAACAATGCAGTAAATGAAAGTACAGGCTCTGTGGGTGCCTGCAGGAAGAGCTTCCAGACGTAAGCCAAAGCCAGTGCAAAGGCCCTGAGTTGAAGTGAGAGCAGTAGAGGAAGGGAGAAAGATACTCGGTGTGCAGGGTTGGAGGGAGACCGTAGGACCTTGTAGGGCTTTGCCATTGTAGATACTGGCTTTTACTCTGAATAAATGGAGGACCCCTGGAGTATTTTGAACAGAGGCGGGGACAGAATCTGACCTAGAATTTAAAAGCATCACCCTGGCTGCTGTCTTCTGACTAGAACATAGCAGGAGCAAGGGGAGAAGCAAAGAAACCGGTGAGGTAGCTGCTGGAGTCATCCAGGTGAGAGTGGTGGCTGGGGCCAGGCAGGCAGCATGCAGCTGGTGGGGAGTGGCCAAGCTCTGGACAGACTTTTGAAATGAAGCCCATAGGGGCGCCTGGGTGGCTCAGTGGGTTAAAGCCTCTGCCTTCGGCTCAGGTCATGATCTCAGGGTCCTGGGATGGAGCCCCGCATCGAGCCCCGCATCGAGCCCCGCATCGAGCCCTGCATAGAGCCCCGCATTGGGCTCCCCACTCAGCAGTAAGCCTGCTTCCCCCCTCCCCCTGCCTGCCTCTCTGCCTACTTGTGATCTCTGTCAAATAAATAAATAAAAAATCTTAAAAAAAAAAAAAAAAAGAAAGAAAAACAAAAAGAAATGAAGCCCACGGCATCTGAGGATGGGCTGCATGTGACGGGGAGGGAAGGAGAGCTTGCACCGCGGTCTGTGCAAATGCAAGACTGGACTTGCGACTGGACTTGCTAATGAACTGATGGGGGGGGTGGGAAGAACGTCTATTCAAGTCTTTTGTCCATCGAGTCATTGGTCTTTTGCTGTTTAGTTGTGGAAAATCCCATTTTGAAGTGAACTCACTCTCCACCCCAGGTCTTCCAGGCCCTCATTTAAAGAGCTCTTCCTCTCCCTTAAAATCCAAATAGAGGTAGTTTCAGAGCCAGAAGACACCCTAATGTCATTTACTCCACCTCCAGAATGGCCCCTATTCCTGCAATTTTTTGAGGTCTCAAGCCTCAGAATTGGTTGTCTAACCTCAGTCCTTCCTGCTGCACACCGGCCTCTACTGTTTTGGCTCCACAAATGAGAAAAGTCACGCAAAAATCACAGATTAGAATTGGAGTTAAGATTCCAATAGACCCGAAACACAAGGTGACCCATTTACAACGGGATCCTTAAGCAAGGCCAGGTGACTTGGCTCCGCGAACGAGAAAGGACACGCACGCGCAGTAGAACTGAGGGCATGACGAGGCCAACGAAGTCGTGGCTTCTGCCCGAATCCAAGATGGCCGCGCGCTCCGCCCATCACCTCCTGGGGGGGTGGCGGGGGAGAGGCTCAAAGCTCAGCACGCCATTGGTGGAGTTGCCCGCGGCGTATCCCCGCCCCCTCGCGAGGGGCGGGAGTGACAGTGTCCTAATTTCCGGTTCCGGCAGTACCGGGAGCCGGGTCGAGATGGAGGAAGATGCGAGCGGGGGCCGGCCGCCGCTGGGCATGGAGGCTCGAGTGGGCGCTGTGGCCTAAAGGGCCGGGTTCGGAGCTCGCCTCAGTCGCGGCAGAACCGCCCTGATCGGAGGAGGTGAGAAGCCGGCGGCGCCGAGCGCCTGACGGCGGAGGTCTCCGAGGACCCGGACCTGTCACGGCGGCGGCGAGTGCCTGCGGCTCCGCGGGAGCCGGCCTCGCAGCCCCGGGGCCGAGGGGCGGCTGCGGCCAGGCGTCTGCTCCTGTCCGAGGAGCGCGCGGCGGAGGGAGCGGGGCGGGGGCGTGGCTCGGCCGGCAGCGAGCCCCGGGCCGAGGGCGGCCGTGCGGTGGGCCCGGGCAGGCGCTGCCGGGACGGCTGTCGTGCGGTGTCTCTGACGAGGATCGCGTGGGTGCCTGTGGACGACCCCGGGAGAGCTGGGTGGGACCGCTCCGTGACGGGGGGGGGCGGCCTCGAGGGAGGGGTCGGAGGGGTCGGAGGCGTCGCGGTGGCCGAGCGTGGAGATGTGTCCGCGCTCGTGCGGGGAGAGGGAGTGTGGATGCAGACGCAGTGGGAGAGTGAGGGACAGAAGGGGGCAGAGGCCTTGTTTCCGCTGAGAATCGGGGGCCGAGCCCAGCGTGTGGGTCCAGAGCTGCGGGACGGGGTTTGCTTTGGTGCGGGTGGCCCCGGGAACAGCTCTGCCTGCGTCCGGTAACCAGTGCTGGGCCCAGTTCTGGCGACAAGTCAGGATAGAGTCGTAATGGTCCTGGACTTTTTGAGCAGCTCTGTCATCCTTATTCCGATAGTGACAGTCGTCACTTAAAGCAGTGTTTTCCGAACGCTGGGGCACTGTAGTCACCCAGAGAGCTCGTTGACATGTGGCTGTCACTGGGCGAGCTGGCCTGCAGCCTCAGTTTGTCCTCTGCAAGCTCCCAGGTGCGAGCGCGGCTCTGACCAGCCAGGGCTCAGGGCAGCGCTGTCCGGGAGAGCTCTGCAGTGGTAGAGATGCTCCGCTGTTACAGAAGGCTTTCCCACGTGCCGCCACACGGTGCATGTGTGGCGGGCCTGGCTGCCCCGCTTCCCAGATGAGGAAACTGAGTTTCAGTGAAGCGACATGGTTCCGATCGTACCAGTAAGTAATGGAAGTGGACCTCGGACCTCCTGAGTACGGGTGTTCTTCCCACTGCATGACCCCGGCCTTCCAGGTGGCCTGCCTTGTCCTGAACCAGAGTTTTACCTCAGAACCTAGAGAATGATCTGGAGTGATGCTTCTGGCTCAGGAAGAGTGCAAGTGGCAGGGAGAAGTGCAGAGACCACCAATCTGTCCCTTTCCCCTGCTGGGCTTGGTAGCAGAGGCTCTGCCTCTCACATCTCGGGGTGTCCTGGGTCATCTGTTGGGCTCCATAGGAAGCACTTCAGACTTTGCGCCTGGGCAGTTGTTGAAAGATGGGAGGAAACTCGATTCGGAGCTGTGCACGCAAGTAAGGGTCGGCGGAAAGAACCAGAAGGAACGGGGGCTGCTGAGCTAGGAGAAGGGAAGCCCAGAGGCAGTGTGCGTACGGGCACCCGCCAAGAGGATTTTCCATCAGGTAAAACAGGAGGGACTAGTTTTGGTATTTCAGCAGGAAGTTTGGAGGTTATAGAACAAAGAGCAGGTTGGGATCCCACTTTCGAGGGGCCCCCGCAGCTTTTGAAGGGTTAGAGGGGGTGTGTGCGTGGCCTTCCCTCCTTCAGCTGTACAAGCTTCTCCCTCTGAGGCATAACCCTTAGTGGCTTTGGTCACCATGACAGCTGTAGAAGCCACCTGCCTTGGCTTCGGAGAGCCCCCCTTCCTTCTGGGAATTTACAGTCAATAGGCCCAGGTAAGGATGGAGGAAAGCGGAGAAATGGGGTGCTGGGTCCCGCCGTCGGACTTGTTGTCAGGAGTTAGTGGTTCTTTGCGATTGAGCCCGACAAGTTGAGAACGAGTCCACTGCTCTTCTTTTCTGTCCTGCTTAGCACCGTGGGCGCGAGCCCGGCAGGAGGCCGTCTCGCTTGAGCCCTGCCGTGTCTGTGCGGTGGCCGCAGCGTGCTGGCCGGCCGCTCAGCTCGGTCAGTCCCTCCACCAGCACGCTGGGAAGCAGAGGCAGCTCTTGGTTTCTCGGGAGCAAAGCTGGGAGAAATCTCTGGTCATCTGCAGGCCCGGGAGCTTATGGTTAACCCTTTAGCCCCGAGTGACCAGCAGCCATGAAAGCATTAACGCTGCCTACCACGGGTGGGAGGGACCCGGCTTTAGACTGAGCAGTGTGACTTGTGCCGGGGCTCCTCACTTCCGTGGGGTAGAAGGCATGGTCAGTAGAGGAGAAATCTTGGCTCATATCCTGCCTCCACCATGACCTTGGACCTGTTCCTTTTACCTTACCTGATGCCGGAGTGTCTGTCTGTGCACAGGTGAGGTTCTAAGGTCACATGAGGTGACAGGTATTCGGAAAATCCTTGAGTCTCTTTCTGCTCATCGCCCAGTGGTGTTGGAAACATGACCTTGGGACCCTGGATACCAGACTCTGGACAGGTGACAGTGACCACCTTCTCTTGAAGGCCTCAGAGGAGAGGACTGTGGGGCTTGTTGGGTGTCCCCATCTGAGGCTGGGGAGGAAGGGCCACTTTTGCCCGCAGCAGGTGACACGGCAGCCTTCCTTTCGGTTATTTCCCACATCCTAGGTGCTCCTCCTGGGCCGAGCTGGTTGTTCTAAGCCATCGTTTGCTGCTCTCGTGGTCTGGTGCATTTCTGCTGTGTCCGCACGGCTCTGCCCTGCAGGGTTCCTCCGCTGGCCTCACCTGGAAGCTGAGGTTTTCCCTCAGGGCACAGGTGTTTGGCTCGCCCTGCAGGCAGCCTGGCCTTCTGTGACAGTGACACAGTCCAGCTGGGGGTGGGGGCGGGGGCTCACTGTGCTTCTCTGCTGACTTCCATGGCAAAGCGAGAAGGTCCTCAGGCTACTTGGGACCTTTGGTTGGGAGAGGTGGTCACGGATGGATTCCGTTGAGACACTCGACATGAGGTTGGCCAAGGCACTGGCTTTGGGAACATTTCAGCTTCTAGAGTTGTCCCTTTAATGTGGCCACCTCCTTTCCAAGCCCGTCGGGATTTCTCCCAAAGCCTGGGGAGCCCCTGACTTCTCGCGGCCAGTTCCACCTCCCCGCTTCCACGCTGGCCGAAAATGTCCAGTGTCCTGGGCAGGAACACGTTCCTTTGTCGCTCAGGGCATGTCCAGTAGATCATGACCCGTTGCTGGACAGTTCTTAAGTTGGAAGGTCCTGGTTTCATATGGTTATTGCATTAGTGCTGGTTTTGCTGGAGAACTTCGGTGTTGGCCAGGCCTGACATTAGAGCCACGGCAGCGTACTTTGGCCTGGTTTCTGTCTGAGTCTTAGATCCATTCCCCGGAGGGATTGCTGTTGTCTTTGAAAACAGACTGTGCGCGTCTGGAAGCCAGAGGCAGTATCTTCCTATCGCTTGGGTCTCCCCTCATTGTACAGCACAGAGGTTACGACTTCTGGGCGCAGGGGTGAGAAGGGCCAGGCCTGTCCTGTGCCCTGTGGTTCTCCAGACTTCAGGGAAACCTCTTTGCTCTCTGCTGCTGCTTCTTTTCTCTAGAGTGAGTTATCTAATAACCAAAGGGGACTCTGACCTTTGGCTTGTTGCTAACTTTCTATCCTTTGCTGGAGGGAGGGGAGGGGGGCAGACGTTCTTCTAATGCAGGCTGCAGGGAAGATAAGTGTAGTGTGAGTGAGTCGGGGCAGCTCTGAGGGCCCAGTCCGCTGCGGGCAAATGGTGACAAAAGAAGCACCTGCTGAGGGTTAGCGGTCAAGGCGGTGCCTCCTTGGGAGGCCCTGGGGCAGCCAAAATGGAGCACTGGCTTCCCTTCAGCATTAGGAACCTGCTAAGTGTCACTCAGTGACATCCCTTCATCCCGCCTGGAGGCCTTGCCCCTGCCAGGTGGTTTCTCCGGCGGCATCCTGAGCTCTGCCTGGGTGAACAGAGCCGGAGGCGCATGGGCTATGACTCAGGGCCCGGGCAGAGGCAGGGACTGGAATCGGTGGTCTGCTCAGCCGGGGCAGGGAGCCGAGCTGGGAGCAGAGCTGCGGGAGTCACTGAAGTGAGGGGAGGCTTCTGGAATTGGGGAAGGGCTGGCCAAGGAGAGAGAAGGGGCACGAAGGACGGCTCGGGCAAGAGAGCCGGCCAAGCTGGACTGGGTGGGATCTAAACTCCGGGGAGGCGGGTACCCCAGAGATGAAGCCTGAGGACGGGGTTCGGAGCCTAGCCGGCAGGGCAGAGCGCAAAGCCTGGCCTCCTTGCCCACGTCCTCCCGCCCGCTCGCACCCCCAGGTCTGCAGGCGCCATGGAGGACAAACGCAACATCCAGATCATAGAATGGGAGCACCTGGACAAGAAGAAGTTCTACGTGTTTGGGGTAGCAATGACCATGATGATCCGCGTCAGCGTCTACCCGTTCACCCTCATCCGCACCCGGCTGCAGGTCCAGAAGGGCAAGAGCCTCTACCACGGGACCTTCGATGCCTTTGTCAAGATCCTGCGAGCCGACGGCGTGACTGGCCTCTACCGGGGCTTCCTGGTCAATACCTTCACGCTCATCTCCGGCCAGTGCTACGTCACCACGTACGAGCTCACCCGGAAGTTTGTCGCTGACTATAGCCAGAGCAACACGGTCAAGTCGCTGGTGGCCGGCGGCTCGGCCTCCCTTGTGGCCCAGAGCATCACGGTGCCCATCGATGTGGTGTCCCAGCACCTGATGATGCAACGCAAGGGTGAGAGAATGGGCCGCTTCCAAGTGCGAGCGAGCCCCGAGGGACGAGGGGTGGTAGCCTTTGGCCAAACCAAGGACATTATCAAGCAGATCCTGCGGGCTGACGGGCTCCGAGGCTTCTACCGGGGGTACGTGGCGTCACTGCTCACCTACATCCCAAACAGTGCTGTCTGGTGGCCCTTCTATCACTTCTATGCAGGTAAGGGGGGTAGGAGAGCAGGGGTTGGGCGGGTGGGGTGAGTGGGGGCGGGGCGGGCGGGGCGCTGTGCAAGCCAGAGAGGAGGATTTCAGGGAAGAATGGGGTGTTCGTCCAACAAACATTTGATCCCAAGAGGGCTCACGGATGAATGAGACGCGGGTTCTTGCTTTCGGGGAGCTTCTGTCATCGTTGGGGGCTCAGACGAGTCAAGTAGATGACTCTAGAACATCAAGTATGTTGATTGCCTTAATCAGTGGGGGTTCGTGGACTTTAATTGGAAGGCGAGGAAGGACAAATTTCATGGGCTATTTGGGATCTGAAGAGGAAATTTCAAATTTCAGATGACTGTTTGCATTGGATGCCTTTCCTCAGCGTTGTTAAATTCAGGGTGTCAAAGAGCCTGGAACCCCTCCGCTCCTAGAATGTATTTTTGTTCATAAGACATTTTACTTTTCTTGTTTCCCAGGAATGGATTACTGGGTCCAAAGATAACATTTTTGAGGGCCTCAATAAGCATGTTGCCAGACTTCCTTCTGGAAGGCAGAGTGCATTGCCAAGAACAGGATCTGAGCGTGCCCGTGACCGTTGACACCCACGGCTTTGGGCCACCAGCAGACTCCCGTGAGGACGGTGTCTGCTTGCAGCCTCCGCAGTCCCTGCTGTGGGCTCCGAGCCTTGGCCGTGGGCATTCTGCCCAGTCCATCCGGGACCTTTCTAACCAAACTTCATAATGCCTTCCTCACCTGTCATCATCCTCTCCCTCCAGGACTACCCCTTTGTGATTCTCCTATTTTCCTGACTGTGCCTTCTTCTTTATTGCTAGCTCTGTTTCTCCCTCGTGTTCAGCACAGTCTTCTTGCATATTTGGTAAAATTCACCCAGACTCCACCCCTGACCTTTTGCCTCAGATCCTTTGGGAACAGATCCTGGTAATCTTAATGTTGAGAAAAACTCTAAGAGGGGCACATGGGTGGCTCAGTCTGTTAAGTGTCTGCCTTCGGCTCAGGTCATGATCCCGGGGTCCTGGGATCGAGCCCCACAACCAGCTCCCTGCTCAGTGGGAAGCCTGCTTCTCCCTCTCCCTCTGCCCCCTGGCCTGCTTGTGCACGTGTGCGCTTTCTCGCAAAAAAAAAAAAAAAAAAGAAGAAGAAAAAAAGAGCACTCTAGGAAATGTGAGCGTTTTCTCTGGCATCTCTCTTTGCCCTTCTCTCCTCATGTGATTTCATTTACAATTGACTTGTCCTTTTCTGCCATGTCAGAAAATCTGTGTCTGTCCCTAGACTAACTTTCCAGAGCTCTGGACAGACACTGACTGTTGAGCCTCCCAACTTGGACGCATGCATTTACATCCGAAACACTATGCAGTAAACTCTCTTTCATCCCAGGCTGGTTGACTCACTTCCTTCTCTCAGTGGCCAGGTTATGCTCCATGTCACTGACACAGTCACTCCCTCGTCCCCACATCTGGTCCTGGTGACCCCAGAATGTCTTTTCCTACTCTCTGTCCATTTCTCCTGCCTTCCCTGGAAACCAGGCCTCCGGGCCCACCCTGCCGGCTGCTGCGCTAGCCCTCTAGCTGGTCTCCCGTCCCACCTACCACACCTGCCAAGGAAGTCACTCTGTAAACCCTGGACGTGGTGCTCAGCGGCTCCCCCTGCTGGCCGAGGACGGGCCCACCTCTTCAGCCTGGCTTCCGCCGCCCTTTACAGCGGAGTGTCCCCTGGTGTGGTGTGCGTGGTAGCCAGGCCAGATCACGCACAAATCTTCCCACCCCAGCTTTGTTCCTCTCGGCCGTCCAGGTGCACCGGCCCTGTGAAGCCATGACATACGTGAGTGCTGCTCACTGCCGCCTCACATCTCTCCTTGGAGCCCTTCTTAACCCCGAAACCACCTGTCTGTCCTTGAGCCCCGGTGGCGTTCCTTAAAGCTTCCTTCTGCAGCTGCATAGCTTGCCTTGATGCCGTTTGTTCTGTTCCACGGTGTGGAAAGGTTCCCTTTTTCCTAATGCATTTTTCAGTTGAGATACAATTAAGATACAGTTGATTGGGAAGTTTCTTGGAAGGGGGAGGAAACTGACATTTATTGACTACACGCCACCTGCCAGACAGGCTCCTGGACACGGGTGCTTCGTAAATACTTGTTGAATGAGTAGAGTGGTTCTTGTCATTCCCTTTGGCTTAAAATCTGCCACTGGTGCCTTCTGAGCATTTAGGATAAGTGTAAACACAAGTTTACAAAGTGAACACGAGTGTGCCCGTGGCCAGTGCAGGTCCCCATGATCTGGCCGCTCTGCTGGGCCAGCCCTGCGGTGGCCTCCTTCCCCTTGCTCCACTCCGTCCTCACTGTCCTGCTCTCTGTTCTTGAAACACACCAAGCTCTGTTCTCACCTTTCCATATAACGTTCTCTCGACCTGGAGCGCCCTGTCCCCCATCGTCCTTCTGGTGCTCCAGGCCTCAGCCTACATGCCACCTTTGCGCAGAAGACGTCTTCATCCAGTTGGAAAAAGGGCTCCTTCTCTTTTTTTTCAGCTTGTTTCTTTCACAGCATTTGTCATAATTTGCGATCACTTTGTCCTTGACTCACAGCTCCTACAGCAGAATGTGAGTCCCATAAAGGTCCTTCCAGGTTCCTTTCTTTGCTGTGTGTCCTGTGCTCAGCGCAGTGCCTGGCATCCGGTAGCGTGAAATAAACAGACATTTATATTACTGTCCAAAATCATGTGGCCAGGAGGGACTTAAACCAAGTGAGCTTGGGTTTACCATCTGCTCTGCAGATACTCGGTGCCCATGACCGCTTGTTGAACGATAATGGAGAGCAGAGACCTGGAGCTCTTGCCCCCACCCTCTTGCTTTGTTTTCTCATCCTCTCCCGAAGTCCTAGGAAAATGGTCTGTGTGCATGACTACAGCTGGAACCTGGAGCCTGCTGTGGCTTGCAGGCCCAGGGGCCAGTGCAGACAGGCCCATGGAGGCTGGCAGCGCCGAGCCGGATGCCACCTCGCAGCGGCCGTGAGATGCTTCCTTCTCTGGAGAAACAGGACGCGGGTGTCTCGGTTTATGCTGGTCTCTCGGTTTATGCGGACTGGTGGCTAGCGACCTCGGGTGGCAGGGGGAGGCAGCTCTGGCAGGCCGTACGGAGTCCTCCCATGCTGCCGGATTTAGAGGCTCTCACGCCTACCCCCGATCTTTAGGTGGTCACAAATGACCAAAAGTAAGGGATGAGAAGAAAACTCTTTAAGGTTCTATGGCAGCTGAGCTGTAGAGAGAAGACGGAGACGGAACCTGCGATGGCAAGCCTGCCGTGCGTCCAGCCTCCTGCGGAGCAGAAGCCAGAGCTTTCGCCTCACACTGGCCTTGCTGCCCTTGAAGACTTAAGGCACGCCCTTGCCTCAGGGCCTTTACACAGGACGTTACCTCTGCTTGGAAAGTTCTTTGCACATATCCATAGGGCTTGCACTCGCCTTCAGGTCTTTGCTCAGACTCGAGCCTTGGAGAGGGCTTCCGTGCCCACCGTGTTTACCACGGCAGCCCCTGCATTGCCAGCACTCCGCATTCCCCATCCCCCTCTCCTGCTTTATCCTTGACAGGGGACACACGTGACCTTCTGACGTAGCTGTCTTTTGGTTTTTGGGATTGCCTGTGTCTCCCCCCGCCTCCCCATTGAACAGAAACCTTTATGAGGTTGGGATTCGACCTTGTTTATTCATACCTCCATCCTCGGGGCCAGGGGCGGCTGGCCACGTGGCCACTCAGGGAGCCTTTGTTCAACAAGCGAGCTCTTGTCTTTCATGGCTAGAGAGGGTAAAGCTAACAGTTCAGCCGCACTGAGCTTCCCCGTGACCAGGGAGTGGGTGATCTGGCCGTCTCCATCAGCAGTTTGAGAAATGAGCTTTGCTTTCTTGATACTGCCTGGAGAAAACATCTCACTCTAGATGTGACTTTCTCTCGTTATTATTTTTATTTTTAAAAACATTCATATGGCGGGGGACCCCTGGGTGGCTCAGTCAGTTAAGTGTCTGCCTTCGGCTCAGGTCACAATCCCAGACTCCTAGTATCGAGCCCTGCATCCGACTCCCTCCTCAGTGGAGAGCCTGCTTCTCCCTCTTCCTCTGCCACTCTGCCTACTTGTGCTCGCTCACTCTCTCTAATGAATAAATTAAAAATCTTAAAAAAAAATTCACATAGAGGGGCGCCTGGGTGGCTCAATGGCTAAAGCCTCTGCCTTCGGCTCAGGTCATGATCCCGGGGTCTTGGGATCGAGCCCCGCGTCGGGCTCTCTTCTCAACAGGGAGCCTGCTTCTCCCTCTCTCTCTCTGCCTACTTGTAATCTCTGTCTGTCAAATAAATAAATAAATCTTTAAAATAAATTCACATAGGTATATACATGATGGAGTATTAGCCATTAAAAAAAATGAAAACTTACTGTTTGCCATGACATGGACGGAGTTAGATGGTATAATGCTAAGTGAGATAAGCCAGTCGGGGAAAAGCAGGTATCATAGGATCTCACACAGATGTAGAATTTAAGAAACAAGACAAAGAAAAAAAGAGACAAACCAAAAAACAGGCTCTTTGCTCTAGAGAACACACTGCTGGTCACCAGAGGGGAGGTGGGGGGGCTGGGAAACAGGTGATGGCGGCTGAAGGGGGTTAGTGTCATGAGCACTGAGCAGTATATAGGATTGTTGAATCACTGTATCGCACACAGGAAACTAACGTAACGCCGTCTGCTAAGAAACTGGAATTCAAAAGTATAGTACAAATATTCTCGTGGCCCAGAACGCACAAGGTCAGGACAGGGATGCGGGGAAGAGACCCCGTGCCCTCGGCAGTCACCCTGCCCCTTCCTCGTGCGTGTGTGGGAAGACGGGCCCCGTGCGCGTTCCTGGCCGTGAGTCGAGAGGAGTGGAGCACGGGCACCGGGTTTTCGCACCAGGGAGGATTTCTGTCCATCAGATGAAAGGAACTGGCGTGCAGAGAGCTTCTGAAACCCCTTCTCCAGAGAACTGTTCTGTTCAGGTTGGAGATGGACCCCGCCTGGCTTCCGGAAGGGCCCTCAGAGCCATCAGTGTTGTTGGCTCCGATGAAGCCAGGACGAGGAGACGGGTGTTCTGGGGTCCAAGGAGGCTGAGGCTGGACAGGGTTCGTCCTCGTTGGGCACAGAAGCAGCGTGAGGGCCGACTGCGTGGCGCCGCACGTCTTGAGGCCTTGTCTTTCCTTCGATTCCAGAACAGCTCTCATACCTCTGTCCTAAGGAGTGCCCACACATCGTCTTCCAGGCTGTCTCGGGGCCCCTGGCTGCGGCCACTGCTTCCATCCTCACCAACCCCATGGACGTCATCCGCACCCGAGTGCAGGTAAGACCAGCCTCCACCCGGCTGAGAAGGGTGGGTGACCTGCGGGCTCCCCCGTGTCCCCCTGACCTCTGAGCCATGGCCTTCTAGTCTAGCTGGCCTTATCCTGTCAGCCAGGCCCCTTCCCGCAACTGGCTCGCTTCTGCAGAAACCAGCTGAGCACGTCGAAGCCCCTAGTGTTCCCCTCGTGGTGTCTGTGGCCTCGCACGTCCTGCTCCTGGCCTTGCACACTTGTTCCAGTCCCAGCATGCCCTTGCTCCTGTCGTGGCCGTGCCCGCTGGGCTCCTCCCTGCCTGGCCGCCTGTTAGCATAGCCAATAGGACAGCTTTTCCTTACATCGCAGGTTTGTGGCTAGTAGACGTCTGTGCATTTCGGCGGGTAGGTCTGGCTTCTCTGCTGGGCTGGGCTCTCTGCAGACTGTTCCTGGGCAGGCCTCACCGACTGTGCCAGCTAGACTCAGCAGGGGCGCTGACAGAGCCCTTGGTGGTGCTGTCCAGGGGTGATCGTCCCTGTCCTCCCTCAGCTCAAAGACAGCTCCCCGGCACCTCGTCCAAGGAAGCAGAATCTGAATCTGGGTGTGTCACATACAGGTGGCAGGGGCTGCGGTGTGAAGCTTTAGGTGAGAATAATGGGGGATTGTGATGTCTGAGGTGGGTAGGGTAGGAGGACAGCTGTCCAGGAGAGTGGGGTCACTGTGGGGGGGGGGGAGAAACTCAACAGCTTGGAGGTGAAGTCAGCTTCCCTGATACCAGGATGCTGGGACGGAGGTGGCCGGTAAATCTAGGTTTACTTGTCCCTAGGAAAGAATGCCGCCCCCACACACTTTTTTTTTAGATTTTATTTATTTATTTGATGGAGAGAGACACAGCGAGAGAGGGAACACAAGCAGGGGGAGTGGGAGAGGGAGAGGCAGGCTTCTTGCAGAGCAGAGAGCTCCATGCAGGGCTCGATCCCAGAACTCAGGGATCGTGGCCCGAGCTGAAGGCAGACGCCCAAGGACCAAGCCCCCCAGGCGTCCCCCCCCACACTTTTGAAGGAATCAGTTGACATCTGATTGGTTTGCAGATAACAAAGTGCACAGGTTCCCTCCTCTTCTGAGGCTTATTTCGAGTGTTCCGTGAGGAGACCAAGGGAAAGGACAGGTGTCTGCTTCTGAGGCATTGCCGGGTGGGAGGGGACAAAGCGCAGCGGAGGCCCAGAGGCTCACCCGAGCGGCCCTGCCCGGCTGTGGCTCTGCGGGAGGGCAGGGGGCAGAGGGGCAGAGGAGAGTGCTGCCCAGGAAGAGCGGAGTGTGCGGCCGGCGCTTCGGGAGGTGCTGCGGGAGGTGGGGGGGAGGGGGTGACACTTGGAGCCGATCGTCTTGTGAACATCGCCCCGTCTGGGGAGGCGGGACACGGAGAGCTGGTGTCCTGCGCGGGCGGAGGGTCTGAGTGGGACCAAGTGTGCTTCGGTGGCAGGGTCTGGGGGCACAGGAAGGGGGCAGGACTGTCGAGAAGAACAGAGGAGATTCCAGCCTCAGCTGGACTCCAGTGTGGCAGGGAACAGGGGCCTTGCGGGGTGTGTGGGTGCCAGGGTGAGGGGAGGAGTCCCGCCTCAGGGACTGAGGTACTGAAGTGGTCGGAATGGAAAGGACAGAGCGGCAGGGCCGCGAGTACCCGGTCTCCCTGAGGCTGGGGGGACGCAGCCAGGGCAGGGCCGCAGCGGAGGGGCCAGTCTGATGGCGGTAATAGCTCCCACTAATGGGGCGCCAGGGCCTGCCAGCGGGACCGCTCAGACAACTGCGGTGGGGCGGGGGGTCCTCCGTCGCTGTTGCATGCACAAGGGCCCCGAGTGCAGAGTACGCTCCCCACGGGGCTGCGCTGTCGGTGACCGGTGACCGGGGAGCAGGATCTGACCCCGGCAGGCGGGCTGGCACCGGGGCCCACATGCAGCCCCGCTGCCGCTCCCAAGCACGGTCCCGCCTGGGACCCCGAGGCACAAGGCTGTACTGAGCGGCTCCGACCGCAGCCCGCGGCCCTCCGCTGTGTGCTTCTTCAGGTGGAAGGCAAGAGCTCCATCATCCTGACCTTCAGACAGCTGATGGCAGAAGAGGGGCCCTGGGGCCTCATGAAGGGCCTCTCGGCCAGAATCATCTCAGCCACGCCCTCCACCATCGTCATCGTGGTGGGCTACGAGAGCCTCAAGAAGCTGAGCCTGCGGCCGGAGCTGGTCGACTCCCGACACTGGTAACCCGCGGCGGAAGCCAAGCCCACTGGTGGCCGCGCTGCTCTGGGGCAGGGGCCGTGTGGGGAGGGTGGCACCGCCCCCCGATGGGCTCCCCGCCACCCCACATCCGCGGCCCTACCCCAGGGGGCCTGTCTGGGACAGGGCAGAGACGGAACGGCTCTTGCTGAAGAAGCTCCACACCGGGACCCCCTCGCCCATTACTTTTCATTTTCTTGCCCGACTGGGCTCCCTGGCTCAGTCCCGGTCCTCAGCCCTGTCCTACGGAAACCCACTGTCCAGTGCCACCGCCCCACGCCCTGCGAACCCTTCTTCTGGCCTCCCCCACCGTCTGTGTCCCTGAGACCCTGACAAGAGCTGTACATAGAGCTTGCTTCCCGTCACTGGTCTTCTCCTGGGCCCTCAGCCCCGCTCCCATCGGCTGCCACCAGCCCTCTCCCGCCGCCTTCCGCGGGCCCGCCCGTGTTTACTCTGGGGCTGAGCTGCCCGCCGGACTGCTCTGCTTCTCCCCGCCGACGGGGCGCGGGGGCACGAGGCCGGGCGCTTGGGCGCGCGGAGTAGGAACAACGAGAACCTCTGGTGTTCCAGAGCCCTTGTCCTCTCTTTGGAGAGGTACTAGGTTGGGGACAAATGTTGATCCTTTATCTTGTGTGTGTTTTTTTAAACCTGTGAGCGAGGTACTGTGAGGCCTGCTGAAGCGCTGGTCCTGCAGTCAGAGCCCACCCCTTCCTCAGAAAGGTGGAAAACGCGGCTCTTCCCTCAATCCCGATTCTCTGTCCCGTCCACGTTCCTTCCGAGCCAGCAGCCCCCGGACATGCAGGCCCGGGGTGACTAGAGGCCTGCCAAGTGGAGAGAGCAGCCGGTCCGGGGCAGCCCAGTGGAGCTCTGGGCGCTAAGGCAGTGGGGCCCCCGTGTCTGTACCCAGGCCCGCGGGACTCACGGACACACAGGCCTCACAGCGGGAGCCTCCGAGTCGTGAAACCACTGGTGTTTCTCTCCTCGTCCCAGTGAGGAGTCTTCCCGGTCACAGGCCTCCCGAGGGGTGCTGGGAGAGTCAGGAGCGGGGCACGAAGCCACCTGCTCACGACCGCTGCACTTACCAGCCCGACACTGCCTGCGCGGCCGCCCAGCACTCCTCCTTCCCCACGCGCCGCTGCCACCCAGGCCGCCGCACCCACAGAAGGCACACGTGTGGCTGGAGGACCCTTCCCACCTCTCATCCGTCCCACCCCGGGAAGGGCCGCGGTGCCGTGCAAGGTGCTAGCTACCGAGGCCTTGACACTTCTACGGCTGCCCCCTTCTGTCTCCCTGGCCAGGTCAGAGCCAGACCCCGCTTCTCCACCTCTGTCCACCTGGGTCTGTCAGATCTTTGAGGGCTAACCCCCTTCACCTCCCTTTGGTTGTGTGTCCCCTCTCCTCCTCTGTCAGGTGTCCCCCAGTGTCTGTCCCCTAGTGGCTCCCCCCCACACCAGGGTGCACAGGTGACTCTGACCCACTGCCCCTCCGTCACCCACCTGCCCAAGAGCCACCAGGAGGGTGGAGGCCAGGGCCCCTGTCCCTGCAGTCTCCGCGCTTCCGCCCACGCCTCCTCCCTAGGGGCCCGTCTGCCGTGGGCCCCACGCTGGCCCCGGGGGCCGGGCGGTGGCAGGAGGGGGCGTGCGTGCGCTCACACTGCTCCCCCGCCCAGCTCCCCATGCGGGGTGCCGCACACCTCCCCCCGCCCTCTCCACCTCTCCCTCTGTCCACCTCTTGCTCCCTCCTTCCTCCACCTCTCCCTCTGCCCACCTCCCTCTCTCGCACCCGGCCCCTGGGCTCCCACCCAGCCTGTCAGGGGGCGGGTGGCCTCGGGTTACAGAGCGCCCGGGTGGGCAGCGGGCCGAAGGCGGCGGCCGCTGGACCTGCGGGAAGCTGGCCCGTGGCCCGCCCCGGAAGGAACGTGGGACAACGGGGCGGCGGGCACGCAGCTGGCGCTTGGCACACTGGACTGCTGTGAACACGAGCGGCGGACACCCACTGCTGCACTGTACGAAGTCTCTGACGTGTGATTAAACCTTTTTACTGAGCCCCCGGGCGTCGGCTTGCGAGTGTCCGCCTGCCCGCCCCAGCGCGCCGCTCCCCGCCCCCCGCGGCTCGGTGACGGACACCCGCCGCTTCCAACCGGAGGCGCCCGGTGCCGGGCCGGCCAATCGGGGGGCGCGGGGGCGGGGCGAGCGGGCCCGTTAGATTTGGCGGTCGGGGTTCAACATGGCCGCCGCGCGCCGCGTCCACGCAGACGGCGGCTGCGAGGAAAAGGGGCCTGAAGGGTCGTGTCCAGCCGTGCCCCCCGGCGCCACCATCCCGAGGGTGAAGCTCCTCGACACCTTGGTGGAAACTTTCCTCCAGAAGCTGGTCGCTGCCGGGAGGTAAGGGGCAGGAAGCGAGAGGCCAGGGAGCGGGCGCGGCGGCGACCCGGTCACGTGGCCTCGCGCCCGGGTCGTGACTGGCCGGGATCCACCCGCGGTCACGTGGTCGCGCCCGCGCGCCGTTGGGGGCGGGGCGGGGAGCTGGGCGCTCGGCCTCCGGGGCCGGCCTCCCGCGCGGGCCGACGGGGCGTGCGCCCGCGGGTGGGCTGCGGCGGGGCTCCCCGCGCCTCAGACCTGCACGGAGCGCCGGCCGTCCCTGCGCCCGCGGCTGCAGTGCGCACAGGTCCGGGCGCCGCGCGTCCCTGGGGGCAGACGTGCGGGGAACAGGCGCCGGACTTGCCGAGACCGCGGGCGGGCGCCGGGCTGGAGGGCAGCGCGGGGAGGGAGCCGCCGAGGACGTGACGCCGAGCGGAACCTGGAGGAGGGAGCGACGGGGAAAAGGCTACGGACGAGGCTTGTGCAAAGGCCCGGAGGTCGTCAGGCCTGCTGCGGGGGGTGGGCAGCTGGTGGCCTTCGTGCAGGAGCAGTGCTCCGTAGGAAGGAACCTGATAAAGCATCCGTAGTTGTTCTTGTGGACTCGTCGTAAGCCACCGCCGAGATCTGCCCAGGCGAGGTCCCCCCTGTGTTTTAGGTATTTGCGGGTTTGGCCCCTCTCCCCCTTCGTGTCTTCCTCTCCCCTCTCCATAGGCCTCACTTTATGTGGGCTCAGTGCCCTCCGGTTATAGGTGTATGAGTACTTGCCCGCAGTGTCTCCGGCTGTGCTGCAGGAGCTGGAGGTAGACCCCCAGTCCGGCCGGAGGGCGCATGCTCTCGTGGAGCCGGTGTCCAGTGCCATCAGAAGGGAGTCGGGGTAGAGGAGTAGAGCGGTGGGACGGGGGCATCTGGGTTAGCAAGTGCAAGGAGGGGACATTGCTGTGCTTGCCTCCTTGTAAAACATGTTTCGTGCCTGTTTGTAAGTGAGTGATAATCGGGCTGCGTAGGCCATTTTCACCGAACACCACTTGCTTTAAGCTGTCACCACATATCCTCTGTGCCTGTGGTGCAGGGCCGCTCCGGCTGCCTTTCATTCCCTGATAGACATCTGGTGCTCACCCAGCCGGTGGCAGACCCTTGGCCACCTCTGGGCCCGTCCTCCACAGCTCCTGCCTGGGCGACTGTCCTTGTCCTTGCTTTTGCACAAGCGCTGGCATTTCTGCAAGAAGGTAATGGAGAGGGGTCCTGGATTCTGGGGTTCACACCCACCACTGCCTTGTCAGATTGCTTTCCAGAAAAGCTGTTTCTGTCTCCTCCATCCTCACCGGCACCGGTGTCCACCACCTAACCCCTGCCGCTCTGAAGGCGTGGACAGGGCTGTCCACAGTGTGGTAATTCGGGTGCCCCGCTGCCTCGCAGCTTCCGACAGAACCCTCATCGCTCTTGTCAGTCACGTGGCTTTCCTTATCTGCCCCCGGCCTCCTCGTTTCCTCCAGGTTTTCTTTTTCAGACTCATTTTCTTAAGATTCTATTTATTTGTCAGAGAGGGAGACTGAGAGAGGAGGGAGCTCAGCAGGGAGAGCAGCAGCAGAGGGAGAAGCGGGCTCCCCGCTCAGCAGGGAGCCTGATGTGGGGCTCAATCCCAGGACCCCAGGATCATGACTGGAGCTCAAGGCAGATGCTTAACCACTGAGCCACCGGGCGCCCGTTCTACGGAGTTTTAACGTTCTTTAAAGAACTCACACATTCTTACTAGGTCACTACCTCGTACTTGATAGTTTCTGTTAACTGTTGTGAATGTTCTCTTGTTTTCTGTTTTCTTTTAAAAATTAGTTACTGATGACTTAGAGAAACTATTGCTTTTTGTGAGATACTTGTATCCAGCAGTCTTGCTCCACTCTTACTGAAGTGCAACCTCCTCAGAGTGCACAGGTCACCAGTGTTCAGCCTGATACGGTTTCCGCGAGTGAGCATGCCCCTGTGACCAGCACCCAGACCCGGAACACCCCCAGAAAGTGCCCAGGCGCCCCCTCCCGTCTTCACCTTCAGCTGGAAGGGTAACCACTTTCCTGCCTTTTGTTAACCAGACATTAATTTTGTCTGGGTCCCCCCCCCACGCTTTATTAAATGGAAGGAATCCTGTGGTTTGTGATCTTTTATGTTGGACTCTTTTCCTCGACGCTGCCTTTGTGAGATTCATCCTCATCATCATCAGGGATTCGCAGTAGTAAACAGTGATGTAATCGTCTTTGCCTTCTTCCTTCTTCTCCACAGTGTTTAAGTTTCGGCCATGTATTGGGGCGCCTGGGTGGCTCAGTGGGTTAAGCCTCTGCCTTCGGCTCAGGTCATGATCTCAGGGTCCTGGGATCGAGTCCCGCATCGGGCTCTCTGCTCAGCTGGGAGCCTGCTTCCTTCTCTCTCTCTCTGCCTGCCTCTCTGCCTGCTTGTGATCTCTGTCAGAGAAATAAAATCTTTTAAAAAATAATAAAATTCCATTTTGGGGGCGCCTGGGTGACTCAGTGGATTAAGCCTCTGCCTTCAGCCCAGGTCATTATCTCAGGGTCCTGGGATCGAGCCCTGCATCGGGCTCTCTGCTCAGGGGGAGCCTGCTTTCCCCTCGCCCTCTGCCCCTCCCCCTCCTTGTGCTTTCTCTCTCCCTCTCAAATAAATAAGTAAAATCTTTTAAAAGAATAAAGTTCCATTTTGAATAATCTCTACTCATGGGAAGTGATCACATTATGATGTTGAATTTTAAAGCCAGGTTATGGGGGGAAGCACGCAGAGCCCCCATGAGTATGATCTGTGTCTAGTATTACAGTCGCAGGTGCAGGGGCGCCCGCACGTGCGCCTCTTGGTCTTGGGGTAGTGGGTTCAGGCCCGTCCGTGGAGTATAGACTTTCCTTTAGAAAATGAAATCTTAGAAAAAGAACATTGCAGTCGACTAGTTGACACGTTACATTTTATGTCTTTTACAAATGACCATGACTAGTTTAGTTTGGGCTTTGTTTTTTTAAGCCGTTCCACTTTTTTTGGAAGTCTGAGACAACCTGTCTGACCTGGAAAAGCTCCTCTGCCCAGAGCCCGGTGCCTAACTGCCTGGGCGGGCCGCAGCAGCCTGAGGCGGCGCAGACAGAGGCGACTGGGGGGTAGGACGCAGGGGAGAGGAGGGACAGGGACACCAGGACTCCCATCTTGCAGTGGTCGTTGCAGGGTGGTGCCATCATCGGGAGCTGGGGAGGGAAACAGGTCTGGGGTCAGAAAGCTGTTTGGACGGGTTCCGGGTTCTCTGCGCCTTCGGCCCCCCCTCCTCGCGCCTGGCCCAGCCCAGGTCAGTACTCTGCCTGCGCCCCACTGCCCAGTTCCCAGCCGCGGAGCAGCCCGGCGGAGCCCCTCCCGGTGGGAAGCCACGCCCCTGCGCCCCCAGGCCTCTCCCCTGCTCCGCAGCAGCTGCTGGAGACGCAGGGCTGTGGAGAGACCACATTCACGCGACTCTACTGCAGTATTGCCGTCATGAGGATGTTTCACCGAACGGTTGTTGTTACAGCGTCGTTCACCTCTCACAGCACCTGGGTCATAAATTAAGCTTTATGGTGCTGGGTCCACACAGGAGAAGCAGCACTGTGGGGTTCGACGCTGTCCGGTCTCAGGCAGAGTCTTGGCGCGCGTGCGCGTGGGTAAGGGGGCTGCTGTACAGTTACTTTGAGGGATTTTTTAAAATCTTTTTGTTAATATTTATCAAATCAGAAGTCTTTTTCAGAAAAAGTACAATTTCAGATTCTCACTATTAAGTTTCTGGTAGTTTCCGAAGTTTCCAAGCAGTACAAGTTTAGGTTGCAAGGGGCCTGTGTCCTCACTTGAGAGGGAGCCAGAGCTCGAGCAGGGAGAGGCGCAGAGAGACGGGAAGAAGACGCGGGGCACCCGGAGATCACGACCCAGTGGGAAGGCGGACCCCTCGCCACCCAGGCACCCCTAATGAAGATGAGTTTTTAAAAGCTAACTTTGCGCCACAGTCGTCGTCATGCATCACAGACCCGTGCTGTCCTCAAGGAGCATTTCTTGTTTTGGCTTCCCTCGGCCCTCTCAGGCCCGGGGCTGCCCGCTGAGCCCCGCACCGAGAAGGGGCAGCGGGAAGGAGCCACCAACAAGCACCTGCTGGTGAGCGCGGCAGCCGGCGGTGGTGGGCGGTGTCAGACCCCCAGCCTCTGTAGCGGGCTCTGAGCGCCCCATCCCTGGGCTGGGGCCGAGGCGCCCTCTAGTGGACGGTCGGTGGAGGGGCGCTCAGCGGGGCCACAAGCGCGGGGGCGGGGGGGGGGGGTCCCGTTGAGCCTGAGGGCGGCGGGGGGGGGGGGGGGGGGGGGGGGGCAGTGGCCGAGGGCACTGACCGACCGTGGGGGCTTGATTCTGGGCTTCGGTATTCTGAGGGTAATTTTTTTAAGTTAAACCTCCGTGATATGGGGCGCTGGGGTGGCTCACTCTGTCCTGCCTTTGGCTCGGGTCATGATCTCGGGTCCTGGGATTGAGCCCCACATTGGGCTTTCTGCTCCGCGGGGAGCCTGCTTCCCCCTCTACCTGCCGTTCCCCTGCTCCCGCGCACTCTCTGTCTCAAACAAAATCTTTAAAAAAATAAACTCGTGTGGTAAAGTCAGTTTGAGTTTTTAGTGCAGTTAATGAGATGCTCCTTCATTGAGTTCAGACCATGGGGGTGTCTCAGATCCCGTGGAGCGCGGGCTGGAGAGCAGGGCGCTCTAGATCTCGGGGTGCTGAGTTCCAGCCCTACATGGGGCACAGAGGTTACTTTAAAAACTAACTAAAAGGGCGCCTGGGTGGCTCAGTCATTAAGCGTCTGCCTTCAGCTGGGGTCATGATCCTGGAGTCCTGGGATCGAGCCCTGCATCGGGCTCCCTGCTCCGCGGGAGGCCTGCTTCTCCCTCTCCCACTCCCCCTGCTTCTGTTCCCTCTGTCACTGTCTCTCTGTCAAATAAATAAAATTCTTTAAAAAAAAAAAAAACTTAAAAGAATGTAAGAGAAGAACTAGATTAAAGTCAGTTAATACAGTCATTTGTGTTTTGATAATTAGTAAATACATTTCAAACAGTGACTTTGGTGATAAATACAGCCCTCTTTTGGGGGCGCCACAACTTAGCCTTTTCTCTGTCGTGCGGCCAGTGGGATCTTCCTGCCGCTGGGCTGGCCTCGAGCGGGCGTCTGCCACCAGGACGCTGTTAGGCAGCTCTTGCCGTCTGCCGGGAGGCTTCTCGACTCCGGGAAGCCAGCTTACTGTTGGGCACTTCTGTGGGCGCCGTGAGGCCTGCGGTGGAATCAGTGCTACTGACAGTGCTCGTCTGCGCGCGGGGCCCTGTGCGGGGTGCGTCACACACGTGACTCGCAGGAGTTCGGTGAGTGCGGACAGTTACTCCCCCGCCCGGCAGAGCGGAACCTGAGGCTCGGAAAGGTGCGGACGCTGTCACACGTCACTCGAGCAGCAGAGGTCGGGTTTGACCCCAGGCAGACGGACAGGCGGTGAGCCGCAGAACCCGTGCACGTGGCCACGCGCAGCTGATTGGCCCCTCCCGTGGTACTCTCCCAGCAGGGGTGAAGGGGGCTTGCAGAGAGGCCCCCCGGGGCTGCTCCTGAGGGAGGACTCCTCTGCCGGATCAGTGCACACCCGCTGGCCCTGGGTGGGGGGTGGGGCGCTGGGCTGCAGCTGCCTCCAGCACAGTTCCGGGCACCCCGGAGATGCAGGGAGGTGACAGTGTAGGGAGCGTGACGGCCCCGAATGCTTTCCAAAATGCATCACTTGACCTGCTTTTCTCTGAAAGTATGTTTTTAGGAGTCATAAGGGCATTTAAACTGTTCCTGAGCCTGTCCTTGCTCTCAAGAAAGGAACTCGTGGGGTGGGGAGGGGGGTCAGAGGAGGGCAGACAAAGGCACGTGCATCAGCTAGAGGGTGAGGACGCCCGGGGCACGCGGTGTCCATGGGCCTGGCCGTGGCGTGCGCCGCTCTGTGAGGGGCGTGGGCTGCGAGAGCGCCTGCCGCGAGGAGAAGCTGTTTCTCCCCGGTTTTCTGTGTCTCCGCGAGCTGGAGGGTGTTGGCTGCACGTCTCGTGGTTGTTCTTTCACCGTGTGAGAGTCACAGCGTCGTGCCGTGAGCCTTACACAAGCAGGCACGGCAGTGGCATCGCAGTGTCCAACAAACAAAGCCAGGATCCCTGTCCCCGTCTCTCCCACGCCGTCCTGCAGTCCTGCCGCCCGCCCTCCGCTCCCGTGCGGCTGGCAGTCACTGTTCCCGGGATCTGCGCGTGTGGGCTTTGCCGTCACTGAGTCCTCGGAGCCCAGCGGGCCACGCAGTGACCTCCACAGCAGCACTGGTGGGCGATGGCCTGTCCCTGGTCCCTGGGCCCCGCATCCACCCATCCATCCATCCACCCTGGGCCCATCGCCACCACCACCACGGGATGCCGGAGCGCAGGACAGGGGCCCACTCAGACCCTCTGCCGGCAAGCGGGCCCGGAGGAGGAACGGGATCTCTGGTGTCCGAGCCAAGTCTTTCTGAAGCCACAATTACCCAGTGTCAGTTCAGCCCGCTTGGCCGGATGTCCTGCGTCGCCACATTCCTCGTGTAGCCACAGACTGCGTGGCGAGTGGGGCTGGCAGAACACAAGACGCCTGGGCCCCCCGAGGCTGAAGGGTGCCGCCCTCTGTCCCTGCTCCTGCTCACGGGGGCAGGGTTTAGCCCCCACAGGTGCTGGTGTCCAGCGGGGACCATCACGACGGAGAGACCGTCCCCTCACGTGGAGCCACTGGCAGAGGCTTGCAGGCCGCCTTCCAGAAATAAAGGTCTGGCCGCCTGCGTGTGCCAGTTTCCAGGGTGTCCGAGCTCAAGCCGCAGTCGCAGGACGACAGCGGCGCCCCGTATGCGGAGCGTTTCCAGACAGAGGACAGCAGCCCCCCCGGGGCACCAGGAAGGTGCTGGGCCGGGAGGCGGCGGTCGCCTTGCTTCTAATATCATTTGCTGGCAGACGACAGGACTTTGTGTTTGGGGCGGTTGAACAGCAGGTTCACAGGTTTCCTGCGGGCTAGCAGGTGTCCCTCACAGGCCCCTGTGCACGCCCAGGTGTCACAGACAGGCTCCACAGACATCGTGTAGGGCAGGAGCTGGCTGGGGAGGCCGGGAGCCATGAGAAAGGGGGACCAGCAGTGAACCCCAAGCGAGGGGGGGCTAGGCACGGGCTTCCAGGGACCTAACACCCTGTGTGTCCCGCGGCCCCCCAGTCTGGCCACACAGCTGGGGAGCGTCCGATCCCCCGCTGAGCGCAGTGTGGGCTGTTGTGTGCTTGGGGACTCCGGGCTCAGACACTCCTGCAGGTCACTGAGCTCCCCCCACCCCAGCTTAAAGACCATCCCGAGAGCCTTTGCCTTCAAAGTGCCCCCCACGAGTGGCCGTCCCCATGTCCATATGTGCTCCCGTGGACACCCCAGGAAGGCCGTGCGGCTCCCTCCCCCAAGATCACCCAGTACCTGGTTGGTGGCCAGCACCTGGCAGACAGTGGACAGGCTGGGTGGAGAAGAGAGAGACTGAGAGACGAGAAAGCAGGGTGTGGGGAGGGAAAAGGCAAGAGACTCCGTTGCCTTATTTGAACTTCTTTGTCCAAGAGAGCCAGCCACGGGGAGTGTCCTGGGCACCCTCTGATCCTTCCAGCTACGAGGATGGACCCAGGGACCAGCTTCCAACAGCCGGGACAGAGACCTCCTTTTACAGGGCGCAAACAGGGCGCCCAGGGGCTCCGTTGGTTAAGCGTCTGCCTTCGGTTCAGATCATGATCCCGCCCTGGGATCGAGCCCCGCATCGGGCTCCCTGCTCGGGGCGCATCTCGGTCTCCCTCTGCCTGCCGCTCCCCCAACCCTGGGCTCATGCTCTCTCTCTCTCCCTCAAATAAATAAAATCTTTAAAAATTTTTTTAAAAAAAGGCATGACAGTAAGAGGAATCCATTACCCCACTAACTAGCAGCCCCAAGGTGGGGTGGCTCTGGTTTGGTGTTTTCAGTGCGTGATGATGTCCTCGGACACCCCAGTTCCCCTCTTCCGTTCAGCCTCCTCAGGGCATGAGCTCTGCCCTCAGGCCAAGCTCCCCGTGGAGGCCCGGAGCTGGAGCCACTGCCGCCTGCACGGGTCGTCCCCTCCCCCAGAAGGGGCTTCCTTCCCGTTTGGCTCCTTTACAGAGGAAGGAAACCTCTGCCAGAGGCCACCTGTCCTGTCCTGTCCTGTCCTGTCCTGTCCTGTCCTACTGGAGTGACCAGAGCTTCTCAAGGACTGCAGCCCCCCCCCACAGCAGCACCCCCCCCGGGAGCGGGTTGGACACTGTGGGGGCGGCCGGCACGGAATCTTAGTTCCTGGTGATTTGAGGCACTGTGGCTGGACGGGGGTGACCCACCCGTAAGGGGAGACCCCAGAGCTTAGTTGGGCTCTGCTGTGGGGCGGTGAGGGCCCTGGGGATCAGATGCGGCTGAGCGGGGCCGGATGACAGCCACAGCATTCCCCGGGGCTGTGGACTTGACCGGCTGGCCCCTGCGGCAGGGAGGCAGGGGTGGCCAGGCCGGGCGCAGGCTGGCCGTGCGCTTGACCCTCTGCCTGCTGTTTGTCCTTCCCACCAGCTACCAGAGATTCAGTGACTGTTACAAGCGTCTCTGCCAGCTGCAGCCTGACGTGACCCAGCGGATCCACGACAAGTTTGTCACCCAGCTGCAGGCGTCTGTCCGGGTGAGTGGCAAGGAGCCCAGCAGCGGGTGCTGGCCCTTGGGGTTCCCCAGGGCTCAGCGCTGCCCTCTGTGGCTGTGGGCTGCCGTGGCCACTGTCAGTTCTCTGGTGTGGCCCTGCTCTCGTGGGCCGGGGCTGGGGCGTGTGCCCGCTGCCCCGCAGGCTCCTGTCCTCCCCGTGTCCCCAGTGTCTGGGGCGCAGAGTGACACGGAACTGTGGGCCACCGTGGAGCGGCCTGCTGCGGGGAGTGCGAAAGAGGCCAGGGCTGTGTTCGCGTGTTGAAGTAATCGTGGCCTCTCCAGAGGGCTCCACGCCCATGTGCGTCCGCGGCACCACGCTGGGCCCGGGTGGCGGCACCCTGAGGGGCTGGGCAGGCTCTGCTGTCCGTTTGGGACTTTCTGTCCTTAATTATTAAAGCCACACGGAGATAATTTGGAATGTTGGTGTGAAGACACAGAAATTAGCCAAAATCTTACCGGTTCTGCGCGTGTGGTCCCCGTGGGCTTGTCCGGCGTCTTAGAGCTGTGGCCCGCCTGCCCTTCAGGAGGAGATCTCGGAGATCAAGGCGGAGGGGAACCTGGAGGCGGTCTTGGACGCCTTGGACAGGATCGTGGAAGAAGGCAAAGACCGCACGGAACCGGCCTGGTGAGAAGCGTGGCCCCTGGGGAAGGCGAGCCCTGGAGCCAGCGGGTGCTGTTGGGGGCTCACGGCCCATGGGGGGCCCTCCTTCCGTGGGGGCTCATCTTGGGACCCACCTGGTGGGTTTGCAGTGCCTGTCTGGCCGGGTTTTAGTCACTTGTCCATTTCACAGTATTTAGGGGACCCCTACCATGCACCCCCAAAGCTGACCTTCCTGTGGCTCGGGGCACCCCACACAGGATGGGGGGATCCTGAGCTCCTGCCTTCCCCGACACCCCCTGCCTGAATTTAGGCCAGAGCCAGGAAACACCTTTCTCACACCTTCCAATTTTTTATGCTTTATGACCTTAACACACAAGAGAATTGGGTTTGAGAGCTAAAAACGAATTTTTTTTAAAGATTTTATTTATTTATTTGACAGACAGAGATCACAGGTAGGCAGAGAGGCAGGCAGAGAGAGAGGGGGAAGCAGGGTCCCCGCTGAGCAGAGAGCCTGATGCAGGGCTCCATCCCAGGACCCTGGGATCATGACCTGAGCCGAAGGCAGAGGCTTTAACCCACTGAGCCACCCAGGTGCCCAGAAAATTGAATTTTTTAAAGAACCTCTGGTGGCTTCCACCCCCCTGCCCCTCTGAACCAGCCCGTCCTCACTCTGGGCGTTCGGGACCCACACTGTCACCTCCAGACCCGCCTGCCGTAGCTTCCCAGGTGGCCGGCACCGGCTGGGCCTCTCAGGGCGGCCCCACTCGCTGAGGAGCGGGGGCACAGGGTCCCACGGGCAGAGGCTGTGGCTGGACAGTGGCCTCCTGCCCTGGAGCGTTGGACGTGGGTGGGGGCACCTGTGGCTGGCGGCCCGGGAGAGCGGGGAGAGGGGTCCCCAGGCGCCTGAGCTGAGAGCCAGCAGTTGAGCGCACCAGTGGGGGCCGGCCGGCCCGCTTGAGGCTCATCCACACCTGTGCTCCCCCCGCCCCCGCCCCCCAGGCGCCCCAGCGGGATCCCCGAGGCAGACGTGCGCAGCGCCGCTGTGCCCTACTTCCTGCAGCAGCGGGACGCGCTGCAGCGCCGGGTGCGCAGGCAGGAGGCAGAGAACCGGCAGCTGGCAGAGGCTGTGCTGGCCGGGCGGCGGCAGCTGGAGCAGCTGGAGCAGCGGGCCCGGGCCCGGCAGAAGGCCTGGCAGGTGGGTGTCCCGGGTCGTGTCCCCTTCCGTGGGGCCTGATGGCAGGTGGCAGCCCGAGGGACGGGCTCCTCCTGTTAGGCTCAGTGGCCTGTGGCTGTGGGGTTCTCCACGAGACCCCCCAAGAGCTTTGAAGCGTGTGCATTTAGGAGTCCCTGGGGGCGCAGTCTGTCAAGCGTCCGACCCCATTTCAGCTCAGGTGGTGCTCTCGGGGTCGTGGGACTGAGCCCCACCGCAGCTCTGCAGTCAGCAGGGAGTCTGCTTGGGATTCCCTCTCCCCCTCTCTCCCTCCCTCACTCTCAAAGCGGCTCTAGTCCAGGGCTGTGGGCATCACTGCTGGGCTCGCTCCGTCATCCAGACGCGCAGCCCGTCTTTACTCGTAGCCACTGCGGGTTCCCGGGGCAGGCCTTCCTGTTCCATTCCTCGCCACAGTGGGTCCCCACATCCCAGGCTCCCGGGTACCCGAGCCTCGGAGAGCTGGCAGCAGGAGCGGGGCCGGTGGCCTGCTCGCTTCCCTCCTGCTCACACCCCTCCCTGGCTCTGGGGCACCCGGCAGCAGGTACCCACAGGGTCCTGACCCGGGCCTTCTTGGGGGCGCCCTGCTGAGTCGTCAGGCAGTGTGCTCCCCGCTGCTGCCACTCTGTCCCCACGAGGCCAAGGCTCACTCCTGTCTGGACCCCGACTTCCAAACCGGCCAGCCCTGACGTTCAGAGCTTCTGTGTTCATAACGGGGTGCACGGCCCCTGCTCCGAGCCACAGCAGCCCCAACGCGGCCAGAGAGCCTCACCATGTGGGAGGCGGGTGCCCTGGCAAGCTGGGTGCGTGACTCCGTGTGGCATCTGCAGGGCTGTCCGTGGCCCAGACCATGGCCCAGCTGCGACCCTGCTAGCGTCAGGGGACACTCGGGGGCCGTTGTTCATGCTGGGCGCTGCTCTGGGGAGGCCCAGCCTCGGTGGCCACAACCGCCAGCCTGCCTCAAACACTAGCTGAGTAGGGGACACCTTCCACAGAGGCCTTTGCCTGCCCCTCCCTTGTGGGCCCGTGACCTGAGCCGAGACAGCTTGTGTGTCGGTGGGGAAGAGGCCTGGGGTCCGACTGAGTGGAGGGGAAGGTTTACGGTTTCTTCTGTGCTGTTTGCCCTCCTGCTGCTGCCAGGCCCTGCACAGAGAACAGGAGGAGCTGCTGGGCGTGCTGGGGGAGCCCGAGTGAGGCGGCGGCCGCCGGACCAGGAACAGAGGGCGGTCGAGGTCAAGGGCCTGGGCCAGCTGCCCCTGAGAACCAGTGACATGGTGGCCACTCCCTGAGTGCGGATGGAATTAGCCGGAGGATGAGGCCTGACCAGCCCTTCTGCTTTGGGAGCTCCCTCGGGGTCACACACACACACACACACACACACACACACACAGACACAGGCTCTCTGTCCTGCAGGTCGGGGCCAGCCACCTGCCCCGCCTGTTCACGAGCGCCCCCGGACCTGGCCCGGGGCATCTGTGTTCAGGCCGCCCTGATTGCCCCCTTGCCGGCCAGCCCCAGGGCCCTTGCCATGTTCTCCCCACATCCGTAAATAAACCTCCTCCACTTCTACACTGTAATCTGCGAGGACGCTTCCTCCCCGGGCCTCTCCCAGTCTCTCCGGGGCCAAGGTCCCCCGCGAGGCCCCCGCGCTGCTCTGAGAGCCTCCAGGCCGGGCGGGCTGGTGGGGGCGCCGCTGACCACCGCCGTGACCACCGCACGCTGTCCCGTGCAGGGAGGGCAGCAAAGCCCCTCGACCTGGAGACGGGACCCCTGAGTCCAACCCTTGTCTGCCACTTGGGTTCACTGTGAGGGAGGCCCCAGGCAGGCCTCCCTCCGTCTCGCACGTGGTGAGTGTGCACTCGCGTGCACACGCGCCGACGGGCATGTCTTCTGACCGGCGGGTGAAGTAGATGGGTACACGTGGGGCCCAGAAAAAGCCCCCCCAGGAGGCTTGGCTGGGGGCACTGGAGACACACAGGCAGATATCGAGGGACCCTTGCTGGCTGCCCCGAGCCCAGCAGGGCTGTGGCGTTCACACAGGAGACCCCCTCCTGCCCGGCTGCAGGCCGCGGGGTAGGCAGTGAGGCGGCCTGAGGACACCCTTTCCCCATCCTCTCCAGGCTGGGCTGGGGGGACGTGGCCCTCAGGGGTGCTGGGGTGGGGTTTTGCAGGCTGGACGTCAGTCTCCGAAGACCGGTCCCAGTTGTTAACCTCGAGGAGGCTGCCAGGCAGCCAGAGGACCAGAGGAGCCTCCATCTCCTCACAGGCCCTGTCTGTCCCCCTGCAAGGGGCTCCGGCGAGGGTCCCCACCACCCCTACACCAGGCCTGCCACTGACGTCCCTGCAGGGATGGGCGCCTCCACCCTGCCTCTGGGTGAACGAGGGCATCGCTGCCTCGGGCTCCCCCTCCCTGGGGTTTGGCTCCTGCCCTCGGCCGGCAGTGCAAATCACAGGCTTCCATAGGCAGCCCGGCTCTCCCGGAGCCTGTTTTAGACCTGGAGCCCCCCTCCACCCCCCGGCTCCCCCACCCTGGCCTGGCCCACTGGTGCTCAAACTGAGGCTGGAGCGGGGGGACTTGGGGTGCGCCCCCTGGGGAGGGGCCGGGCCTGCCCAGGCAGCTCCAGTTCCAACCACAACATCCTTCGGGGTCTGGCCTTTAGCGCTGGGGCAGATGACTCCCACACGGCCCTGGCACAGTCCCCCGGGGCCCGCCCACAACATGGGGGGCGCCCCCCTCGCCTGCGGGGCTCAACCAGGGGTATAAGTGGCGCCGGCGCTGGCCGCAGCGAGAGATAGACCAACTGAGGCCCAGCAGCCCCGGCAGCCGCTCACGGACACAGACAGGACAGACCCGCCATGAGGCCCGTGACGGTCCTCACCCTGCTGGCCCTGGCTGCGCTCTGCCTGGCGGGACCGGCCGGTGAGTGGCCCGCCTGCCCCGGCCTCCCCTCCCCTGCCTGCTGCTCGCCCAGCCGCCCTCCCTCCTATGGGCTCTGTCCTGGGGGGGTGGGGGCCGGGACGAGCAGGGCTGAACCAGACCCTCTCCTCTGCAGATGCGAAACCCAGCGGTGCAGAGTCCCGCAGAGGAGCAGGTATGAGGCAGGGCCCGTGGGGGGGGTGCGCGTGTCACCCCGCAGGCCCCGAGCCCCCTGACGCCCGCCTCTGTGCCCCACAGCCTTCGTGGCCAAGCGGGAGGGCAGCGAGGTGGTGAGGAGGCTCCGGCGCTACCTGGACCCCGGGCTGGGGTGAGTGCTGTCCGGTGCCCCGTGGCTCCAGACCGGGTCTGGGGATGCGCGGGGAGCCCTGGGGCCGTGGGCGCTGTTCCTGGAGGCTGATGGCCCTCTCTCGGTGCGTCAGAGCCCCAGCCCCCTACCCGGACCCCCTGGAGCCCAGGAGGGAAGTCTGCGAGCTCAACCCCGACTGTGACGAGCTGGCTGACCACATCGGCTTCCACGATGCTTACCGGCGCTTCTACGGCACGGCCTAGAGCGGGCGCCCTGATGGCCCTGGCCCGGCTGGCAGCCCTCCCCGCACCCCCGCCCTGCACCCGGCCTCTCCCCCCGCCCCCCATCCCACAAGGGTGGGGTCCCTATCATCCCGCTGCTCCAGAATAAACTCGGGAAGAGGAACTGGGGCCGTGATTCTTTGTCCATCTGTGGGGTTTTGGGGGGCGGTGTGGAGGGGGTGGGGAGGCGGGCCTCCAGTCTCAGTGCTCCCCCAGATCTGCCGTTGGCTGCTTTATTTGGAAGCATCGAAGGTAGCTTTCTAAAGGTCTAATTATTAGGGTTCCCCCTCTAGCCCAGCACCCCTCCCCCCACCCAGCCCACCTCACCACCCAGGACACCCACACAGACCCGAAGGCCCAGACAGCTGGAGCGCGTGGCTCTGACCGGGACAGCCTCTTCCCCGAGGGCAGAGAGCCGCCTGGTTGGGGAGGCAGGGCAGCTGTGGGTCTCCAGGCCGAGCGCGCAGGGTCGGGGGTCTAGGTTAGTCCGGTTAGTGCTTCCCTGGGCTTGGCAGAGACTCGCAGCCAGAAACGGGACCAGGTATCAGGGCCTCAGCACCTCCCCGTCCCCAGCCTTCAGCTGCAGCCTGGCATTCGCGCTGCCTCTCTCCGACCCTCAGCACTTACCCGGCCCCGCTGAGCACACCCTCGCTGCCCCTCTTGCTCTCTGCCAGCAGCCCCTGGCCCCTTCCTCCCCTCCGCCCCCTCCCCTCCGCCCTCTCTCTGCAGCCACTCTGGGCTCCAGGCTTCCATGTGCCCCATCCGTCAGGCAGGCCCGAGTCTGGGCTCCTCCCTGGCACCGAGGCCTGGCCTCTGCCTTCCCCCGGGGCAGGCTCAGAGAGGGGGCCTCACTGCTGTCTGGCCTTCATACCCCCCTCCAGGGGGCCGCCCTGCACCAGGGGGCAGGTGCTGGGGGCCCGAAACAGGGAGCTTGTGAAGGCAGCAATGATGAGCAGGTTCCCGGCCACCGCCAGGCCCAGCGCGGCCACCGTGCCTGCCAGGCCCACGGGGGGCTCCTGCGTGGCCAGCCAGGCTCGGCGAGATCCCATGTCAGCCAGCACCGCCTCCAGCTGGAAGTGCGTGCCCAGCACGGCACAGATGTGGAACAGCTGATGGCTGTGGCCTGTGGGGGGCGGGCGGCTCAGGGCGCATACCCCGTTCCCGGGGCCACCCTGACTATCTCCTCCTCTGGGCGGGCTGCTCCCCTAAACGGGGAGTAAGAAAACCTAGAAGGCCCCTGGTACCCGTGCTGCTGGCTCCACTGTTATGTGGGGAGGGGGTGCGCCTGGGCCCTGGGTGCTCTCCCTGGCTGCTGTACCCCGTTCCTCGGTTCGCTCTGTGCTCTGGGACGCTGTCTCCCCTCACCCCTTCCCGGATGGGCACCACTCTTGAGCTCTCACCAATGTAGTCAAAGCGTCCCGGGGCCAGCCGCTCGGGCAGGTGGGAGGCGAAGAGGAAGCCAGTGAGCAGGGCGCACAGCAGGTGGTAGCCGTGGCTGGTGCTCAGCGCATCCTGTCCGCAGCCGGGGCCCCTGTCCCAGCACAGTCCGAGCTGGCAGAAGACAAGTGGAGCTGCCGGGAGGGCCTTCGGGAGTGAGGGTCTGGGGAGCGGGGAGGGCAGGAGCCCTGGGCTCCCTTACCCGGTAGAAGAGAGGGAGGTTGTCGAACAGGAAGGGATAGGCGAAGGCGGCCGTGCGGAGGACCTTACTGAGCCCAGGGCTCTCCAGCTCGGGGAACCTGAGGGAGGGAAAGGCTAGTTACCACCCTTGCTCGCAGGTGGTCACTGAAGGTCAGGGGTCCTTTGGCCAAGATGGACTGTCACTAGCTTAGTGGCCATGAAAGCCCTTAGGGCCTGGGAGCCTCTGGAAGTGACCACATCCGTGAAGGCGGTAGACACCCGCCCGCCAGCCGCCCTAGGGTGGCCGTGAGAATTCAAGGAGAGGGCGCAGGTTCGGTGCTGGGGCGCTGGAGCGACACCCGGGAAGTCCTCAGTAAGCGGGGCCATTGTTACTCATGTCGGTCAAGAGCCCCAGGCGCAGGTACGCCATCGCTGGCCTCCAGTGTCTCGGGCCTCCAGCTGTGTCCTGTCCCTCCGCCTTCCCCTTCCACACTGGCGGGAAACCCACCGGGAGTAGCAGGAGAGGCCGGTGCACAGGAAGGAATTGAGTGCGGCGGCAGGCACGAAGAGCCGGTGCAGGCGGCTGTGCAGCCAGGAGGCCGGCATGGAGTAGGCGGCATAGGGGAACGCACAGCCTGGGGAGGAAGGGGGCGGGGCTGGAGCCGAGGTGTGTGAGTGCCCGCGCCCGGCCCCGCCCCTAGAGCACCGAGGGTCCGCCCCCGGAGCGCTCCGGCCCCGCCCCCAGAGCGTCCCGGGCCCCGCCCCCGGAGCGCTCCAGCCCCGCCCCCACAGCACGCCGGGCCCGCCCCGGCCCCGCGGGGCTCACCCAGGCTGTAGAGGCTGAGCGCGCCGTAGTCCAGGAAGTAGCAGATGTGGCGCGCGCGGGGCGACATGGAGCTGAAGGTGTGCGCGCAGCACGACGCGAAGGGGTAGAGGCAGGCGGGCAGCAGGAAGACGAGCAGCGGCCGGTGGTACGGCTCCGCCCGGAAGCCCGGAGCCCCCGCCAGCGCCAGCAGGCGCCACACGAAGTACCTGCGGCGGGCAGGTGCTCAGGCCCGCCGCCCACCCGCCGCGCTCGCGGGCCCGACGGCCCCTGCCCCCCCCCCGGGGACCCCGTCGGGGCGCCGCTCACCAGGTGGGCAGGAAGTGAGTCCAGATGTTGGCCGTCTCGTTGGTCATCTGGAAGGAGCTGAGGACGCAGTCCCGGGCCGAGCTGCTGGGGCGGCGATAGCCAGACAAGATACCGTCCTCCCAGAACACCTGTGCGGGGTCAGGTGGGGTACAAGGTCGGGGGACGCCACTGGGCCCGCCCCGTTCTCTCCGCGAGAGACCTCCGCAAGCGGCGTCGAAGAGAGTGGGCTGGAGGTCACTCCCGCCCCAAAGCCAAGCCAACTCAGAGCCGCGCCTTACCGCAGGTCCCAAATACCCAGAGAGCCAAGGAGAAAGCGAGGAGGCAGTGGGAAGGGGACCAGAGGGGAGGGGTGAGGTGGGGCCGGGGGGAAGAAGGGACTCTGGGTGGACGAGCATCCTGGGCTCTGGGGAGGGGTCTCCAGCAGGTTCCTTAGAGAGCAGAGGGATGCCTGCAGGAAGGAGCCCCCCACACCCACGCCCAGCCGCTCAGAGGGGGAAGCCTGGGGACGGGGAGCTGGTGGGTCAAGCCCCTCACCCGAGGGACCTGGTGGACTCGGAGGAGCTGGGGCAGCTTGAGACTGAGCATGGTGGCCAGGCACCTCCACGCCGTGACCTAGAGACAAAGCGCGGGGTGAGGGCATCAGGTGTCTGCCCCCATCCTCGGGCCCCTTCTCACCCCAGGCAGGCCGGGCCTGGCCACCGGGAGCCGGAGTGCGCTGTGCCCGCAGGTGCGCGCGTGACCCCAGTCCCCGCCTGGCGCGTTCAGTTCCCGAGAGAGAGGAGCTGCTCAGTTTCAGCCCGGGACAGTGCAGGGCGCTCCCCTGCGCGAAGGCAGCCCGGGTTAGTAGTCCCAAACCCCGGACCCGGGTCCCCAGCCCCCAGTTTCCATCTCTGGGGAAGCCTGAGTCAGGGAGGTCAGTGCAGAGAGCATCCGCGCACCCCCGCCCCGCCCCAGAACGCCCCCTGGCCGGCGGGGCCGGGCGGAGCACAGAAACTGACGGCGCTCGCCGACAGCTCGGGGAGAGGCCGGATGGCCGCGGGAGTCGCAACGAATCAGGGCGAGCCTGGATCTTCTCTAAAGACTACACATGTGACCCGGCGGTCCCCGACCCTCCTGAGCCCCGTACCCCTCAGCTCCAGACCTGTGCTCTGCCTCCGGGTGGCTGCGGCTCCGCGGCCCCTCCTGCCTCGCCCAGGCACATTCCTTGGCACCACCGGAGGGGCTGGGCCAGCCGGCGGGTGGAGCTGCCCCGGGGGAGGGAGAGGAGGACCCTCCCCCTCCCCCCTTCCCCCGCCAAAACAGCGCGGCAACAATACAGCCCTGCCCCGCCCCTCTTCCTGCCTCCCGCGGCGGCGGTCTGGCTGTGTGCCGCTGGCTCCGGACCTCCCCGCCAGCCGGTCCCGGGGCCTCTGCTCCTGCCGGGCCCTCTGCCTCTGACCTGGGTGCTGGGGACCCCGCTGGGCAGAGGCAGACCCGGTCTTTAGTCCCTGTGGCCCGGCTTTCAGAGAGGCCTCCCGGGTCCCGTAGCCCCTCCCCGGAGTGGGATGGGGGTGATCCGACCCATCCTGCGAGCTGCCCACCTCCCTGGAGGACGGGTGGGGGTGGAGATGCTGGGGCCTAGCTCCCTTGGGGTCCCTTCCCTTAGCGGCAGGGTTTGGGGTCTCTGGAGGGCTGTGTGCTGTAGCCATTGCATCAGAGGAGGGGTCTGGAGCAAGCCCTTCTCCTCTGGTCCCCCAGAACGGGTGTCACGCCCCAGGTGAGCTTCCTTACCCAGACCGTGGCTTGCGCTCCCCACCCGGTGGGTCAGCAGGCCCGGGGCTCCTCGGGCAGCGTCCCAGGCTCCTGCCAGCCAAGCTGACAGGAGGGAGAGAGCGGCAGGCAGGCGGGCCAGGCCTGGGCGGGGAGTGAGACAAGGGGAGCCGGGGAACAATCCCAGCCTTGTCCAGCCCCCAGGGAGCAGCGCAGGGTGGACCAGCCCATTAGCAGGCAGCTCACTCGGCCTCCTGCACACAGCCAGCCCCTCCAGCTTGACCCAAGCCCACGGACATCAGATTGGCCACACCAGGCTAGAGCCAGCCTGGACCTGGCCAGGGCGACATGGCGCCCTCCTCAGACCAGGGGGCGCGCCAGGGGTCCAGGTTCGGCCATGAGCAGGGCGGTGGGGGCAGGGGGGCGCCTGGGCTCGGGAACCCAAATCCTGACTTGTGACCTCAGAAAGCACAGCTGAGCTGCGGTGCTGGGCAGAGTCCAGAGCGAACGCCTCCAGGAAATGGGGCTGAACCACAAGGGAACTGCCATGCGGGTTTATCCCCAGACACACCAGACGCGCCAGTCCTTGCGGGGGGCCAAGGGCTGAGGCCCCAGAGGCTGGTCTCCAGGCCCCCACGCACGCCCCTCGCCCCCGCAGAAGAGCTTCAGCCCCGCTCACGGGACCCAGCTGGAGGCCACGCATCGCCCACCCTGGCGGAGCTGCTGTCCTTGCTGGAGCTCTGGCCAGCACCCCTGCAAAGCCGCCAGCCGCTCACGGGGCCACCGAACTTGAGTCTTCCACAAAACCATCCCTGGGGTTGCTGGGTTCTTGCTTTGAGGGGTTCACCTCGAAGAAACTTTCTGCAAATGCCGCTTCAGGAACAAAGTGCCAATATCCCAATATAACCGGACACAATGGCACCAGGAGACGGAGTTGGGCTTCGAGGGGTCTTTATTAAGTGACGCTTTAGTCTCAGTCTTTGCCAGGGACTGGGAGGGGGGGTGACCCCGCTGCCCCCAGGTCGTCCCAGACGTGCTGTCTTAGAGGAAGGAGGCAAAAAGCCTGCTTTCCTCTGAGAACAGCCCGGGAAGCTAGGCTAGCGCTGGGGTGGGGGGGCGCAGAGCCAAGACCCCCGGCACCCCCCACCCCTGGCCGAGCTCCTGGCCAGCCCCAGGGCAAGGGGCCAAGGCATTCCTGGCCAGAGCCTTCCGGACAGCCTGTGCCCGCTGCAAAGCCCGCTGCCCTGAGCGATTGCGGATCCTGGCTCCCACATTCACCTCGCCCCTTGCTGCGCGCAAGTGAACCCCACGCTCGGCCCCACCGGGCCGGCAGCCCCTGGCCGGGCAGCTCTATGGGCCTCTCCCTCCTGCGGCCTACCTCCACACAGGCCTCTCCCGGGCCTCCCACCGCTCCCCTCTCCTCTTCCCGGCATCGCACTCTGCCCCCAAGCAGGCACCACCACTGTGGGGCTGGGGGCCCCAGGGACCCTGCCTGGCCTGCGGGCCAGACTGCCAACAGACAGAGTGACCTGCTCGGGGCCCTGGAAGCCAGGCAAAGGCAGAGCAGAAGCAGAAGTGGGGCGGCTGGGTGTGCGGTCCCCGCAGCAGGAGGGGGCGAGCCCTGGCCCTGCTCTTGGTGCCGGCAGCTCCAGGCCCCTCTTCTGGAAGAGTCCCCAAGGCTCCAGAGCTGCCTTGCCTGCACACAGGGAGAGGACGGGCGGTCCTCCAGGAGAGGAAGGGTCCGCAGAGAACTACCCACATGTCTGGTGGTACCCAATTCTCCCCCAGCGCCGGAGGGTGCAGACTCCAGGCGCCAATCACCCTGCATCCTGCGTGAGAAGAGGGGCCCTTCTGCTGTCCCTTCCCCTCAGAGGTCCACGAAGCACTCCAATGGAGCGCAGACGCCCACGCCTGCCCCTGCCCCGGGGACAGCGGTGGGCTAAGGCAGAGGGCTGGCTGGGGGCCCCCAGGCCTCTCCTGCTCCCAGCACTTCCCTCACTTTCCTGACGTCATCTTGGCGACAGGGAGACCGCCCTCTCAGCCGGCTCCGGGCCCTCCCTGCGGCTCCCGGGCCCTCCCTGCGGCCTGCGCTGCTGGGCTTCCTTCCTGCGTGCGTGCGTGCGTCTGCGTGTGCTGGGGTGACTACAGGTGGTGGTCCTGGCTGCCAGGGAGGGCAGGAGAGATCTGGACGCAGCCCCACTGTAGGGCGTGGGGGTCCGTCTCAACCAATCTCCTTCCACTGCTTGTAGAAGTCCAGAACATTCTTGATGTCCACACTGGCGTGCGCAGCGGCCTGCAGGGCTGCCTAAGGGATGGTGGTAGCAAACAAGCACGTGCATGGAGTGGTCTGAGGAGGGAGTCGGCCCGGGCACCTCCTCCCTGCTCACCCCCATCCTGCTACCTTGTGGACCGACCTGCATAGGGCCTGAGAGCACACTGGGGTTGTCCAGTGGAAGGCCTGTGACAATGGTCACCATGCCGCTGGGGTCCTCCTCACCCGCTCCCTGGGCCAGAGTCAGTTGTTTGCAGCTGTCCAGGATCTTATACAGGGTCCTGGTAGGGAGGAAGAGGAGGCAGGCCAAGCCACAGCGTGAGGGCAGCCCACGTACCAGCATCCCCAGAAGCTGGGGACTGGGAGGGCAGCAGGAGCGCGCGCAGGAGAAACCAGGCAGAGAAGGACAGTGGTTCTAGAGAGTGTCCCAGGGGGACTGGGTAAAGGGACACTAAGCAGGGACACCAAGGGGCTGTGGGGCTGGGGCCACTTCTCCCTCCCAGGGGACACGCACAGGAGGTCCTGGCGCCACTTCTCCCTCCCAGGGGACACGCACAGGAGGCCCTGGCGGGTTAAGCATGGCCCCAGGCTGGTCCCACCAGCTGCTGCAGCACCGTCCAGCCCAAGAGGCGGGAGAGCAGTGAGGCGGGGCCGGCGTTTACCAGGCATCTGCGTCCTGCCGCTTCAACTTGTGCCGCTCGAAGCTCTTCCCCACCTCTTTCTGGCAGCGAATGTACCTGCAGCAGGGGGGGGGGGGGTCAGAGGAGGCAGGGCACCTCCCCTAAAGCACCTCCCTGGTTCAAAGGAACTTCCCGGCCATGCCCAGAGCCCAGCTCGCTTTTCCTCCTGATAACATCGACCCCTTGGTTCCTCCCGGGGGAGGAGCTGGGAAGGGAGGCGCAGCAGATGCTTTTCAAGTCAGGGCTTCTGGAGACAGGGTCCAAACAAGCAGGCTTTGTGTGGCTTCCTGGCTGGGCAGGGGCAGATGCCGTGGGGGTGCCGGGGAGCAAAAGCCAGCTTGTCCCTCTGCTGCACCCACCGCCCGTGGCTCTCCCAGCCTGGAGCCCCGAAGGGAGGGCCTGAGTGGGCCTCAGCAGTCCCCGCACTCCCACCCCAGGAGCCCTGCCCACGGACCCACTCTACAACAGCATCCGGGAGCCGGGGGTGGGGGTGCTGCCCCAGCTCCCCGATGACGCTCATCTTACGTCTGCCCCAGAGACAAAGAGACAACAGCTTGGTTGTCTGACAACAGGTCCCCCCACCCTCCATCCACAGCTCAGACCCTGACGTGTAATTTTATCTCTGTCCCCTCCCCAGCTCCCCGCCGCAGTGCGCATGGACTGCAAGTGTCTCTCACCCACAGGCACCAGGGCTCCGGAGACGCCTGGCCAGGCCCACACTCACCTGTTTCCTTTCTTAAACTCTGCCTCCAGGTACCGGATCCCATCCCGGGCCCCTGGGTGCTCCTTCTTCAGCAAGTCTAGGCCATCGATCACTGGCAGACGGGGGGGGGGGGATGGAACAGGTGAGCTCGCAGGGAACCCCCAGCGCCCGCTGCAGTAGAAGCAGGACCCGGGCTCCTCGGTGGCTCCCAGGGCTCTTCCAAAATAGGACCTTCTCCGATCAGCAGAGCTCGCGGTCTACCAAGTGCATGCGCTTAGGTCTCTCCCGATTCTCCCAACCGTCTTGTGACTCAGCATTTAACAGACTGTCACATACATTCCACAGATGAAGTGACCGAGCTTTAGAAAGACGGCAGGACCTGCCGAGGCCACAGTGTGCCAACGGGGCCTCCCTGAGCGCTTCTCGACTGCAAGCCCCAAGTCTCTCTTAACCACACCCTGTCCCCCCCCCCAGTACACCCACCGGTCCTCGGGATGATGACGATGAAGCGGCCGCTGGTGGCCAGCTGGCGGATGACCGGGAGGTGGTGGCAGAGGGCCTGGGTGTCAGGGACAAGGTAGGGAGACATCGCTGACTGGGCCTTGGGCTGCTGCAGGCTCCCTTCCAGCTGAGAGACCTCAAGCTGGGGAGAGAGGGCAGAGTAGGTGCGGCTGCACGGGCCCTGCAGCCCTGGCGTGAGGGACGGAGCCCAGGAGGCTCTCGTGGGGCGTCTCCTGCCGCCAAGGGGACGGGGGTGGGGGACGGGGGGGCTCCTTGTACCAAGGCCTTGGAGGAAAAGGAGGCAGAGGGAGGAAAGGTCAAGAGAAGAGAAAGAGAAGGAAAAGC